AAGAGTCCCATTATGGCTCTCAGGGTATCCTTTTAAAAAAAGAAAACCGTAACGAGAAAGATATTCTGTTAAAGAGTTTTAACGGTAACATATTGGCAGAGTATTTCCTTTTAAAAGTACTTGTGGCTTTCAATGTTTCTTTTAAGAGTAAAAATATAAAAACGTATGAAGCATAATTTCAATCCTGCAACGCATTTCAGTTAAAAGTTTCAAAGAGTGAAGCCTAAAAACCAAACAAACGCTCTTCCCAACAAAAAAAATAAAGTGAACTGGTAGAAAACTTTCAAGGGCTTTAAAAGCTAAACTAACCGACTAAACTATTTACAGAATATTTCTGCAAAAAGCAAATGTGAGAATTTCAAGAAACCTAATTTTGAATCCTGCCACTTTTAAGTAAGATGGTAATTGCAATAACAATGATGATAATGATAATGCTAATGATGATGCATTCGTAGCATCCGCATGCAGGAGGTCATTAGAGTTCGTGTTCACTAAATAGAAACGAACCTGGTCCATGCGATCGAAACTTCTTTGACAATCAGAAATTTTGGACCTGTGCTTGCGATCAATTTAAACCAATAACTGGTCAGCGGAAACTTACTTAAAAAATACACGTCACCTCAACGAGTTGTACATTTGAGCCCGTGATACAGTCATGTGACACTGGTCAACGGATACCCTTTTTTCACAGCTGTCAGTTGACCATAACATGGATGTCCACTAACAAGTGGACACCTAGTTAGTAATGCCCGGTCATTACGAGAAAATCTTGCTTGCTTAGCAGCCAATCGGAGCGCGCGTACTATTGAAGCCATATAATAAGATAATTACAACGATAACGATAATGATAAGTAGGTTATTCTTTCATGTTACGCTTACGCCAAATAGACCCACTGCTTCATATAATAATAATAGACTGTCCATACTACTCCGGCGTAATGATGTTTTCTGTAGAATACGATGCAGAAGGATGCTGAAAAGGAGAGGGGCAGTTATTTTTTTTTGTAATATAAACGATCACTTTTATTCTTTTTGCTCTTACATTACAATATTTACAAGCATCCTTTGTCATGCAATGTCTATCTTACCATTTTTTAAGCAGTTGAATATTGTCAAACGCTCTTGAGTCCGCAATATTAAAAATTCTTTTAAATAAAATCAGAGCTTGCTCCTTCTAAGAAATTATATTTTGCATTCTTAAATATTAATGATGGTCTCTTTGTACAAAATTAATTTTTCAGTCAGCTACTCAAATCACTCAATTGGCACCAAATGAGCCACCCGATACGGAATTATTACAACTGGCTTTCATAATAAAGAATAAGGAAAAACTGATTAATTGTTCTATATTCACATTGTTAAGAGACGTATCAATGTTTTTTGCGCAGCTGCTAAAAATTTTAGTCTAAAATATTGAAAAAAAAAAATCAATCAAATGGAGTGAAAAGACGAGTTGATGAAGTTTATTTTTGATAATTGATACGTCTTCTAAGAGGGCACTGACTTGTCACCTGATGCGTTCAGTGCGAGTTGGTACTTGCACTGCTCATTGTACTCCACTGCAAACATCACACCGTTCTTTTCCATGGTAACATCCATTATTTTCAAACAATTTGTCTTTTTGCTTGTGAGGTCCATCATGACTGCAAGTTAAAAAATGAGAAAACGCCATCAGATCCATGAACTTCCAGAACATTTTCTTTTGGCAGAACTTCCGCTCATTTTGAGACAATGTTAGCTAAGTGAATTAACTATTGGCTCCTGCGTCAGCGTGCATGGTTTCTAGATATGAAACATGCGCGAAATAGAAGCTTTATCCTCTTGAGTGCTCTCCAAACATCCCAAGTGCTTCATATCTTGATATAAGCACAGTTGAAGCATGAACCAACTGTTTTATAACATTATCTATGCGATCAATGCAGCATTAAATCTGAAATTAAATTATTATAGCGCGCACTTAGCAGTACTCTTCAATGTCCACGTGACCATATTTGGTTTTTGCCTGAAAGCTTTAGTTTCCAATGTTTCTACAGCTGAAGTCGCTTAAGATAAAATTCAAAAACGTTTTGGAATCCATATTGAGGTGAAAAGCTATTGATGATAATAATTAATCCTGATCAATAATAGTTAATCCTACGTTTTGCTACAAATTCGTTTGCAGTCTATTGCAGTTTGAACTGGCATTAATTTGCCGGACAAGACTTTCTCACTATGATTCATTAAAATAAAGTAACAGAATCGCTATCTACTCATTTTATGTGCATTACATTAACCGAAATGCTGGCTTTGTGGAGGGGGATAATTTACCTTACAAATAACTTTCATCAAATCGTGTGATACTTTATCCACGTCACTTAGCGAGGAAGCCAGATAAATGTCCTTAGAATCTTGCGCGATATTCCTCAGTTCCCGATAAACTACTTTTTGGCCAATGCCCACGACCACAACCCTAACACCATGCTTTCTGAGTGGGTGTACTGCGCGCTCAAGTGGGAGTATATCCGAAGCAGTGGACTGTGCACCTTTAGTAATGAAAACCAAAAGCTGAGATGGCTTTTCAGACCCAGCAAGATTTTGAGGTCGTTTAGCCTTGAACATTCTCCTGGCTGTTACAAGAGCCTTGTCTTTCCTGTTCCCCCCACCGATTCGTGGCAGAGCATTCACGGCCCGCCGAAAAACCGATGAATCTTTGTAGCTGTTCAGGCCGACAATGGTGAAAGCGTTACTACTGTAGACGACTACTCCGGCTCTTGTGTCCTTAGACCTCTATAGTATTATACTCTTCTCAACGACCTGCTCAAGGAAGACTACAACCATAAGGACACCACACCACGATAGACTCCGCAGGTACTGTTTAGGTTACAGGTGCAAAAATTTTGTGCTAAAGACGATGGCAGCAGCTCCTTTGAACGAGACTGTTAATTGAAAGTAAATAAAAAATAAATAAAATAAAATAACGATTTGTAGGTTGCACATCCACATAGTGTTTCTTCGTCTACCTGGTTCCTGGTCGAATTGGAATTTGGAAATGTAGGTTTTTTGAGGAGAGGGGATAACCGGGGTACCCGGAGAAAAACCTCTCGGAGCAAGGGAGAGAACCAACAACAAACTCAACCCTCTTATGGCGTTTACGCCGGGATAAAAGTAATGAAAATGGACACGTTAGCTCATGCTTGCAAATAATGGTAATAAAAATGTTTACCATATCTTCTACATAACTACCCTAACTTATTGTGGGATTGTGGAACCTGTTCCGTCTAGCGAAAGAAGGACTGTGAGCAGACTCTTCGTTTTCCTATTTTATAAAAAGAGAAAAAAGTCCGCGAAGAAGAAGAGCAAAAATTCTCTCTCAATTATTGCCGTAAATTTGCATACTCATAAGCAACTCACGTGTCTTGCTAATCTGAGGAAAAGGAACGAATGCTCAAAGTCTAGTCAAGAGAAGTTTTTTATTTCTGAATCGCATTTGATAGAATTAATGACTTGCTGTGTAGATCGCTCCATCAATTATCCTTGAAAAAATCAAAAGAACGAAAGCATCAAAATATCTGCCAATATCCGACGCGGTCCGATTCGGTGTCCTATATCATTTTATTGTTTTTTTAGTTATGTAATCGCGCAAAAAAATTAATCGATGGGTTGTTATTTTTCTTATTTACCTGAGGGTGGACTTGTAATGGTGCCGCATGTCTTGGTAGCGAGTTGTCGGGACTCGTTAACTAAGCTGTCAAAGTCTTTAATACTGAAGATATCACCTTCTTTCGTAACAAGCTTGCGTAGTTGCAGCCGATTTACTTGGCTGCCAATGGCCACCGCGTGAATCTGAACTGAAAGCTGCCGAAGAGGAATTACGGCGTCTTGAATTGGAACCACGTCGTAATCATTACTCTGTCGTCCATCTGTTAAGATGATCATTACTTTTGGCACGCCAACACGCGCACCACCTTTGGCTGTGAAAACCTCCTCGGCGGCCAGCTTGAGTGCTCTGTCAAATCGTGTTCCTCCAGCGGCAAAGGGAAGTCCCTTTACCACTGCATTAAATGAGTCCCGGTTAAAATGGTCCTTGAAGCGAATGTGCATAGTAGCAGTGCTACTATATGTTACAAGAGCAAACTGCGTTGTCTTTGGTGCCATGTAAAAAGATTCGGCGACTTTCATTACGAAGTTCTTTTGCTTCTCGAAGTCGTCCTCTGTCATGCTTTCAGAGGCGTCCATGAGGAATGCAATGTCAGCCTTCTCGACGCACAGAAGTTCTAAAAACAAAAGAAATAAACTATAAATATTTTCCTAAGTTAGTTGATCGATCACCTTTTGGGGCGTTTCCATTCACCTTTGGAAAGAGTAGGACGTTTTGCGCGCCTTGTTGAATAAGACGAGTCCTGGTAAATACGGGATAGTTAACATACACATTAATGTATTTAAACTTACCTGGTCTTTTAACTATGCCACAGGTCAGTTTTCCAACTTCATCCGTATTTCTTAAAAGCGTATCAAAATCGTTTGCGGCGTAGATGTCTTTGGGTTCATTAACAATCTGTAGTAGTTCATTCATATCGACCTGGCTTCCAATCGCTAAAGCGAGAATACGAACTCCAAGGTGGCGCAACTGAAGCACGGATTGTTCTATCGGCACGGCGTCGTAATCGGCACTTTGTTTACCATCCGTAAGAATAACAAATACTTTAGGAAGATGGGAGCGGACACCTCCACTAGGTGAGAAGAGGTTCTTAGCTGCTTCTTCAAATGCCTTATCAAATCGAGTACCTCCAGCAGCAAATGGTAGTTTGTTTACCGTCTCTTGAAAACTGCGCATGTCTAAGTTGTCTCTAAACTTGACTCGTACTTGTGCATGACTGCTAAAAGTCATCAATCCGAGGTGTGATTTTGTTGGTCCAACGTCAAAAGTTGCAGCAATCTTTTTTATGACTTCTTTCTGTGTCTCAAAGTCTTTCATTGTCATGCTTTCGGACGCGTCAACGAGAAAGGCGATGTCAGCGATTTCAGAGCAATCTGTTGAGTAAAAAAGAAATGTTAAATAAACTTCTAACATTTTCTCTCTGTAAATGACGAACTGGCTCATAACAAATGAATAACGTCAAGGTAGACAAAACTTCATGTAAAGCAGATAAAAAAGGGAAGAAAGTGAAATAAATGTTAAGGCAAACGCCTTTTCATCTTATATACAGTGCCGAGTGAAAGTCTGCAATGCAGTGCTTCAAAGCAATTGCAATATAAGCTTTAACACATGATAAATACCTGCACATGATTTGATATTGCAGTTCTGTGTCTCCTGTGCATGCCCAGTACACTGTTTTCCTCCGTGACGTGGTGCTGGATTTGTGCAGTTGCGAGTTCTCATTTGTTCTCCTTTGCCGCATGTTTTTGAGCAGGTCGTCCACTTGATCCAGTTGCTCCATTGTCCATCAACTGTTGAAAAGAAAGAATTCCGGTCAGCTTCAATGCTATGTACTTATTTAATTACTGGGAAGGCCGGACGGGAAAAGATTTGGCTCCGTGTTTTCCTGACCGTGAGCCAAGTCTTTTGCGGTCCAGCCCTGAACGTAACTAAGTCAATAAGCATTTTTTATCGTGTTTTTGAATTCTTCTGACTGAGCGACCAGTGTCGATCAGTACTCTTTTCTAGCGGAGCCGTAGTCGTTTTTCCGGCCCTATCACTTGAGGTGTACGGCCTTCAAACGGGACTTTTTTTCATATGGTTTTCCAAAGAAATTGCGCGTGGGGCCGAACGGTTCATATGATAAAAAAAAAATAAGCTTCTCCAAAAGTTGTGAATGATTTTTGCCTCTCATCTTGCTTGTTGTATGTGCTATCATGTGTATTCGTTTTCTGCTTTGTTCTAAATAAATGAAAACTCATGCAAAATAGAAAGCCGAAAACGAGCTAAGGTAAATCAGTGAAGAAGATGACATTTGAAACTCAAATGGCCACAGGCTCCTGTTCAGACCAACTTCAAAATCAAGGGTTCTAGAAATATTAGAAAAAAGATACTATCTATCTACTAGAGATACTATCATCTCCTGATACTATTTATTTGACCCTCAAACTAAACTCAGCGAAGTAGGCAAGTAGGTACGCATATTTTTATACCTGGACAAGATTGTGTGTTACAAGAACGAGTCTGATTGTTTTCTCCAGAGCAATCCTTTCCGCCATGCCTTGGAGAAGGGTTGGTGCAAGACCTTGAACGGGAATGATATCCACCGCCACACGACAGCGAACATTCTCCCCAGCCTTTCCATTCGGACCAGTTTCCATCAACTTATCAAAATAGAGAGAGAGGGAATAATTAATTTCCAAGTTTTATACTTGGAATTTTACATCATATGAAATAGATTTCTCGTGACAAAGACTATTATATTTCCGAGCTAATTTTACAATTTCACTTTTGTTTTGTGAACAAGCAGCTTAAGGTCTAGACTAGATAGACTTACGGCTTTAAGCTTTTCGTGGAAGTTCGACTAGTACACATTACAAAACGCAATTGAATAACCATCGGATATATCTAAGACACTGTGATTTGATGTCAAAGACACTACTCATGCTAATTGTAATTCACCTGGGCAAGGATTTTTGTTACAAGGTCTTGTCTCGTCACTTAGACCGACGCAATCTTTCCCTCCATGGGCGGGGTTCGGGTTAGTGCACGTGCGAGCACGTGTTTGAATTCCACTGTCACAAGATCGCGTGCATTCAGTCCAAGGTTTCCAGGTAGTCCACTGACCATCAACTGGTAAAATAAGAAATGGGGAAACGTAAGTAAGCAATTTTCCATCCAGAATAAAGATCTGAGAGTTCGGCAGTGAAGCGAATGATGATAAAACGCCATGAATTGAGAGCACTAATGTTGAAAAACGGAATTTATATACGTTAGAATTACTTCATGTCTCAGAGAACTATTTGTGTTTGTGGTGACATTTATAAAGATCTTGTATCTCTTTAGCTTAAATTTCTGAATAGCACTAATTCTAAGTCTTTTTGCTAACTAAAACCATTAGCAAATCTTTAAACACAAACCCGAGCAATTTCTAGTATTGTAAACTCCAGAATTGAGTAAGTGTCTGATGTATCTGAGGCAATACCATTTGATGGCCAAGGCAATACCGATGCTGAAATCTTATAATTTACCTGGGCAAGGCTTATTGTTACAAGGTCTTGTCTCGTCTCCTAGACCAACACAATCTTGTCCCCCATGGGCGGGGCTCGGATTAGTGCACGTACGAGCACGAGTCTGTATTCCACTGCCACAAGATCGCGTGCACCCACTCCAAGGTTTCCACCCACTCCACTGACCATCAACTGATAATATAAGTAATGGAAAACGTGAGTGAGTAATTTTCCGCTCAAAAAAACAGATCTGAAAGTTTGGCAGCGAAGCATATGGTAATGAGTTTACGCAACAGGACGGCAGGAAAAAGAGGACGGCAAAACGCTTGTGCGTGACAAACGTGACAGTTATTATTCACGAGTTTTGTGATCTTCACGCAACATTTATGTTTCCTGGTCTTTTACAAATAGATCTGTTTAAAAGAAAGTGACGACTCCTCTCTTGTTTACTACATTAGTGAGTTGACGCAACAGGACGGCAGGAAGAGGAGGACGGCAAAACGCTGAGCGTGACAAACATGACGGGGCTATTACTTGCGTGTTTTGTAGGAAATTCACTTAACATTGTTGTTTTTAGCTCTTCTGCAAAAAGATCTGTTTAATTGAATGTGAAGTTTGGCGGAAGGTTTTTTTCAAACAAAATTATTGTTGGTTTTAGCTTTAATTTTCATTTCATGTAAATTTAATTTTTCTTTAGTACAAGGGGTCAATAAAAGTTGTTGTTGTTGTTGTTGTTGTCAGTATAATTAACAAACTAAGACCATCAGAACATTTTTAAAAACATACCTGGGCATTTTCTTGTATTACAAACACGGGCTTCTTGTGCCGCACCTTCACACTGCTTTCCCCCATGCAATGGTTTGGGATCGTCACATGTGCGAATCCTGATCTGTGTCCCCTCCCCACAGGTCTTAGTACACGCTGTCCATTTATTCCAATTGCTCCAGTCACCATCCACTGTAGATTAAAAAAAAAAAACCAAAATGGAATGCTATCAACACAAACCTTACGATGTCTCGTTGTTTGAACTGATTGAAGTGGTGATCTTAGATAATTATTTAACGAGTGGAATCTCTCAACAATAAATGCCAAATTGAGAAATCTATGGAGTGAAATATGGCAGGATTTGCATGATTTAACTTTCAACCATTGAAATGTTTCCCGTAAATTGTAATTTGGATTCTTTTTTGTAGGGAGGTGGGTGGGTGGGTGAGGGACGGAGAGCAATGGAAAGAGCCAAAAAGAAACTTGACCAAAATGTGGTGTCGACAACGGGATACGAACAGAGGCCATATCGGCGTAAACTGCGCCACTCTACCTCTCTAAAGCATGTATTTACCTGGACAAGCGCTTGTTTCGCAAGTTTTAGTTTCTCTACTGTTACCAACGCAGTCTCTACCGCCAAAAGCTGGGCGTGGCCTGGTACATGACCGTACACGTTGTTGTGTCCCAGTTCCACACGTTCTTGAACATGGTTCCCAGTCCCTCCATTCGCTCCACTCGCCATCCACTGCAAGAATCGTTTAGAATGTTTATCAACTTTCCTGTGTGAGCCGTCATAGAATAATGGCAAAGTCTTAGACAGAGTTTAACTAAATTTGTTTACCTGGACAGGGAATTCCTTGGCATGATCTCGATTCACGCCTGGGGCCGACACATTCTTTCCCGCCAAAAGCTGAGCGTGGTTTGGTACACGAACGTGTGCGTTGCTGGTTTCCAGCCCCACAGGTTGTTGAACATGGCTCCCAGTCTCTCCAGTCACTCCACTGACCATCAACTGCAGGTAAATTAAAACATAATTTTAATTAATAAACCTAATAGCGACAAATCATTTATTAGTAAGTCTCAAATTTAAGATTTATTTTAACGAATGCTACAATAATCGCTCCCCTTTACAAATTTTAATTCAGTGTCAATGATGCTCAAAGAGTTCGTCGGAGGAAGAATAGATTTCAGTCGAACTCTCCTTGAATTTTTTTAATGATGGGACAAAGGTTATTCCGTGAGGAGATAGAGTTATTAATAGGGGCTTAAGCAACAGCGTTTTTGAGCGACGGACGTCAACCGGAAGTGGACTTTTTGCATCATTGGGGAGCGGTTTGGTTGAAACTCTCGGGTAAATCGTCTTTAAAAGAGAAAAGAAACTCAGCAATACAAGTTTGTTAACGTCAAGGCATATAAAAAGGGAGAAGGCCTCACTTCCGGTTGACGTGCGTCGCTCAAAAACGTCTTTGCTTAAGGTCCCTAATATTAACTAGAACGGGCAACAATGCACCGTATTCGATCAGTCCATTGACAGTTCAGAAACCAACCTGGACAAATTCTATTACTGCATTCTTTAGTTTCATCAGCTTTTCCCGCGCATTTCTTGCCGCCGTGTGCTGGTGGTGGATTGGTACAAGTTCGTGAACGTCTTTTCTGTCCAATGCCGCAAGTCCTGGAACAGGCAGACCAGTCTATCCACTTACTCCATTGACCGTCAACTGCAATATGAAAAAGTAGCTGGCTTAGACGGTTATGCATTTTAAACTATTTCTGATATACCAGTTGTATTAAAGTACGAAAAATATGATTGACCAGTAGTATTGACGAATGTCTTAATAACCTACTTGGACAGGCCTGTATATTGCAGCGTTGTGTCTGCTTCTGTGTTCCTCGACAGTCTTGGCCGCCATTAGCGGGGGGTGGATTGTTGCATGTCCTTACTCGCCTTTGAACTCCGCCACCACAGGATTCGGTGCAGAAACCCCACTCTTCCCAAGCACCCCAATGACCATCAACTGTAAGTAAAAATATTCGTTGCCTTAATTTTAATTTTCATCACAATATTCTCAATCACATCCAATAATTTTCAACTATCTTAATCGTATTCGGTATGCAATGTAATGTCTACCTGGACAGGGACTTTGGCTGCAGTTGCGTTTTTCATCTTTCGGGCCAGTGCACTCTCGTCCTCCGAAGGCTGGGCGTGGTTTGTTACAGGACCGGAATCTTCTCTGAGTGCCCAGTCCACAGGAGGTAGAGCAAACGCTCCATTCTACCCAGGCACCCCACTCTCCATCAACTGTGGTAAAAATGGAAATAATTACAGTTGGTAACTACATGGAAAGAAAACACCGTCAGCGAGGTAAATGCAGATGCCAATAGCTCCTGTGAATAGTGACATTAAGGGCGCTTTCTATTTGTTAGAACTGACCGGTCAGGAACTTCTCGTCCTAATGAAAATTTTACTTTTAATCCAAACTATCCAGTCAGATCAGTCAATCCTATATAGTATGCACGAAAATGACCGGTCTGGCTATGGTCTGGCATACCAGTTCAGACAAATGGAAAGCGCCCTAAGAAACGCGTGTTCGGAAAACGTAAAAGCAGGATACAGATTAACAAATTCTCAAATTAGGGATGGGACAGATAAGTATTTTGCAAAATTATTCTTACGGATGAACCGGGCATGATAATTGTTTTCTATGTAGATGTAATGAATGGCAAACAATTAGTAAAGGAAAAAAATGGTCACGGGAACAAATTGACGTTTTTCTTCCGCTGTTGAACGTGACCCTTAACGGGTCTCTAAGGTAAATACCTGGACAAGGGTTAGAGTTGCATTTTTCAGTCTCCTCGCTTGCTCCAGGGCACTCGAATCCACCGTTGGCCGGCGAAGGATTGGTGCAGGTTCTTGAGCGTTTAAAGTTACCGCCACCACACGTCACACTACAGGAACCCCAGTCACTCCATTCGCTCCACGAGCCGTTAACTAAGAAAGAGAATATGAAATGAAGCTTGCATGTACTTGAAGATCGTGTTACAATATTTTGCCTGCTGTTGTCAAAGCGTAAGAAAAATTTTCGTTAATCTGAGTAGATCAGATTCCTACATAACATTTTCTTTGCGCCTCCAAAAGACGATAGGATTAAAGAAAAATATTTGTAGGCAACGAACTCTGCTAAAACTTACATTAATGGCTTCACTGCCCTACTTATAACAACTAGACCACGGCTCTGATGTTTTCTTTCCAACAGGTCTATCTCCTGCATTTGGAAGATAGACACTTCGCTCAATTTTTGTGCAAGCGAAGAAACGTTTTTATAACGTTCTAACGTTCATGAGACCTCCATAACTTAGAAACTAGACTGCAGAACACCAGAAAAAAATGCACTTTATTTTATTTTCATAAAGAGCGACAAAAAAGCCCAATACAAAAAATTAAGTTAACGTCGAGATAAGGTTTTAACAAGAGAGGATAAATTGGAAAAATCTGCACTTGGAAGATTTACTGAATTCAAGAGAGATAAATTTCTTTCGCTGAACTGTGTTTTTTAAAATAACCATATGTGCATGTTTTTATTATAAGCATACAAAACTAGAAAAGTCGTTACCTGGACAACCTCTATAGTTACAGTTTTGAATCTCAGTCGCAACACCAACACAATCCCGTCCACCATAGCGGGGAGTTGGATTCGTACAAGTTCGGCGGCGACCTTGAACGCCTGTGCCACATGACTGCGAACAGGCACCCCAATCTGCCCATTCAGACCAGTTGCCGTGAACTACACAGAAAAGGAAGGGGGAATATAAACAAAAATTAGGTATAAGACGCGTTTTTAAGTCAAAGTATTAAAAAAGTTGAACGGGAAGAACAAAAAATACTTTTTTACTGAAATTAGGAAAAAAAAATACTGACAACGAATTTTGTAAAATATTAAAAACTTAATTATGTGGCGTAAAAGCACGTGACGTCACCAAAAATCAAACTAAGAAACTATCGATTCTTCTGAGTTTCTACTTTCACGAGGTATTACAGTACCTAAACGCCTTTACACGAACCAATTTTTGGTTCGAAAGGGTTCTTCGTTTTGCGAGAGAGGACGCTTGAATTTCCAAGCTTTCGCGTGACGCGGCATTTAGCTGGCGGCCGGGAAAGCTCTTATGTGGGTTAAAAAAAGGCCTGTATATTGCAGCGTTGTGTCTGCTTCTGTGTTCCTCGACAGTCTTGGCCGCCATTAGCGGGGGGTGGATTGTTGCATGTCCTTACTCGCCTTTGAACTCCGCCACCACAGGATTCGGTGCAGAAATCCCACTCTTCCCAAGCACCCCAATGACCATCAACTGTAAGTAAAAAAATTCGTTGCCTTAATTTTAATGTTCATCACAATATTCTCAATCACATCCCATAATTTTCAACTATCTTAATCGTATTCGGTATGCAATGTAATATCTACCTGGACAGGGACCTTGGCTGCAGTTGCGTGTTTCATCTTTCGGGCCAGTGCACTCACGTCCTCCGAAGGCTGGGCGTGGTTTGTTACAGGACCGGAATCTTCTCTGAGTGCCCAGTCCACAGGAGGTAGAGCAGACGCTCCATTCTACCCAGTCACCCCACTCTCCATCAACTGTGGTAAAAATGGAAATAATTACAGTTGGTAACTACATGGAAAGGAAACACCGTCTGCGAGGTAAATGCAGATGCCAATAGCTCCTGTGAATAGTGAGATTAAGGACGCTTTTTATTTGTTAGAACTGACCGGCCAGGAACTTCTCTTAATAATGAGAATTTTACTTTTAATCCAAACTATCCAGTCAGATCAGTCAATCTTATATAGTATGCACGAGATTTACCGGTCTAGCTATCGTCTGGCCGACCAGTTCAGACAAATGGAAAGCGCCCTAAGAAACGCGTGTTCGGAAAACGTGAAAGCAGGATACAGATTAACAAATTCTCAAATTAGGGATGGGACAGATAAATATTTTGCGAAATTATTCTTACGGATGAACCGGGCATGATAATTGTTTTCTATGTGGATATAATGAATAGCAAACAACTAGTAAAGGAAAAAAAATGGTCATGTGGAACAAATTGACGTTTCCCTTCCGCTGTTGAACGTGACCCTTAACGGGTCTCTATGGTAAATTACCTGGACAAGGGTTAGAGTTGCATTTTTCAGTCTCCTCACTTGCTCCAGGGCACTCGAATCCACCGTTGGCCGGCAAAGGATTGGTGCAGGTCCTCGAGCGTTTACGGTTACCGCCACCACACGTCACACCACAGGAACCCCAGTCACTCCATTCGCTCCACGAGCCGTTAACTAAGAAAGAGAATATGAAATGAAGCTTGCATGTACTTGAAGATCGTGTTACAAAATTTGTCTGCTGTTGTCAAAGCGTAAGAAAAATTTTCGTTAATCTGAGTAGATCAGATTCCTATATAACATTTTCTTTGCGCTTCCAAAAGACGATAGGATTAAAGAAAAATATTTGTAGGCAACGAACTCTGCTAAAACCTTACATTAATGGCTTCATTGCCCTACTTATAACAAATAGACCACGGCTTGATGTTTTCTTTCCAACAGGTCCATCTCCTGCATTTGGAAGATAGATACTTCGCTCAATTTTTGTGCAAGCGAAGAAACGTTTTTATAACGTTCTAACGTTCATGAGACCTCTATAACTTAGAAACTAGACTGCAGAACACCAGAAAAAAATCCATTTTATTTTATTTTTATAAAGAGCGACAATAAAACCCAATACAAAAAATTAAGTTAACGTCGAGATAAGGTTTTAACAAGAGAGGATAAATTGAAAAAATCTGCACTTGGAAGATTTACTGAATTCCAGAGAGAAATTTCTTTTGCTGAACTGTGTTTTTTAAAATAACCATATGTGCATGTTTTTATTATAAGCATACAAAGCTGGAAAAGTCGTTACCTGGACAACCTCTCAAGTTACAGTTTTGAATCTCAGTCGCAACACCAACACAATCCCGTCCGCCATAGCGGGGAGTTGGATTCGTACAGGTTCGGCGGCGACCTTGAACGCCTGTGCCACAGGATTGCGAACAGGCACCCCAATCTGCCCATTCAGACCAATTGCCGTGAACTACACAGAAAAGGAAGGGGGAATATAAACAAAAATTAGGTATAGGACGCGTTTTTAAGTCAAAGTATTAAAAAAGTTGAACGGGAAGAACAAAAAATACTTTTTTACTGAAATCAGGAAAAAAAAATACTGACAACGAATTTTGTAAAATATTAAAAACTTAATTATGTTTAACGTGAACTTTACCACTGTATAAGTTTTCATAAAACTGAGCAAAACTTCATCAGAAAACCGGTCTAAATGTGAATGGAATCCGTCAGTCGTTGGTTATAATGAAATTGAAAGCTTTAACTGATTACGTCGCAACTAACGCAATGTATAATTAATAAACCCCAACCCAACCTCCATTCATTGGATACCTCTATTCAGGGGACACTTGCCTAGGTCCCGAGGGTGTCCCCTGAATAGAGGTTCCACTGTATAACAAAACCAGAAAAAGGTTTTCTTCAATTTTTCTTACCGGCAGGAGGCTTGATTCTCTTACACGTCTGAGCAGCCAGCTGTAGACTGTGTTTGGTTAATTCATCGAAATTCTCTGCTCTGAATAAATTATCCCCATTGCCTCCAACCAATAGCAACAGCTCGGTAATGTCAATAGCTTTGCCAACACCAACAGCAAAAACAGTAACGTTTTTTTGTTGCAAAGGACGCACTGCCACGTCTAGCGTTTTAGAATCTGACGTCACAGTCTGTTTGCCGTCTGTTAATATAACCATAACTTTAGCAATACCAGACCTTGCACCTCCGACTTGTGTAAACACCTGGGTGTTTGCGAGATGGAGAGCTTTGTCAATGCGAGTTCGTTGTCGCTGATGTCTTACTCTGTCCACGGCAGCGTTAAAGTCGTTTACGGTGGAGTATTCGCCAAATCTGATATCCACTTTCGCGTCGTCACTGTATGAGATTACAGCAATCTGTGATTGTTTGGGCCCCATCTTGAACGTGGACGCCACTTGTTTGACAAATTGCAATTCTCTTTTGAAATTTCTCCTTCCAATGCTTCCCGAGGAGTCCACAACGAAGACCACGTCTGATATCTGGGAACATTGTTCTGAGGAAAATAGAAACAAATCGAAATAAAGAATTACATTTATACAAATCAGTAACCTAAGATTAGATAAAGGCCATCTCTGACAGAGGTTAAGAAGAGAGAAAAATTAAACTGATCTTTACGGCAAGATGATTGAGAGAGAAAAATCAAATGAAAAAGTAGGCAGATATCCTGTATTATTTGATTTTTCTTTATGTTCTTGTACTCAGTGATTTTGGTCCATATAAATTCCGGCTATCTCATTGGTTTGTCTCTGAGGTTTTGCCTCTATTTAATTACGTTTTTTGGACTTAGATATGTTAAAAGTAAAAAAACTAGTTCTGAATATAAATAAATAACCATAAATAATTTATCAACAGAATGTTATAGCCTGCGTGGTAGGGGTTTGAAGCCGAGGAGGGAAATCAGGGCATGAGGACTCAAGGCACGCGAGGAAGGTTCCTTCCCGCACCCCCTTTCCCCCTTTTTCCTTCCCTTTGAAACGCCTACCACGCAGGCTATGGTTGAATAGTATAGAACATCATGTGTAATGACTTGGTCTTAATTCAGTTTATGAAAAAATTTTTCTGACTTGTTCGGAAAAGTGTGCAATCAACCAGAAATTTTCAGTAAGAAATATAGCCAAATGAACACCGCTTTTCTCCAAAAGAGACCTCAGACCTCGCTGGCTGGTTGCAATTTGTTCATTTTCGACTCTAGTTTCAATACTTTAACTCTTTCTGACTCTCGCGTTGGATGTCTCCGTGAATAGTGCCTCCAAGGCGTATAATTACGGTAAATAGAAAATGGCAGGCTTGAATTTACAACCCAGCGCAACTATTTAACTGCAACCATAATATTGAGTTTGGCAGGGAAAACGGAAAAAATCCAAACACGTGGAAAGAAGAAAGCTGGAGTCTGAAGTAACAGCGTGATTTTGCTAGATCGACTTGTCACTTGCTTAACAAGTGATTCGGCGAGGCGCAAAAATTCTTTTAAAACAATAGCTGTAATTTTCCATAGGCACTAATATACCCTCCTTATCACGCAAATTTCAATACTCAGACAAAAAAGAGTGCAAATTTCCCTTTGATAATTGTGCTTACATTTCGTGTCAATTTAATATAATAATACATGTCCGCAGGGGAATGTTGCCAACCAAAGACAACGTACTTTTTCAAAGGCCAGAGTTTTCATATACACGCCTATTGCGAACAAAGTTAATAAAAAAAACAGTGGCAAATTTCAAAGATCTACAAATGTGCGACAGGAAGGTCATGTTAGAAATTCAACTTAGCAAAACTTTCAATGAATGTATTGAATGACTAAGGGAAGCTCAGGTATTCTAGACTCGGGAGGGTCCAGATTACAGACACTCAATTTCAGAAAGTTCATCCAAGTGTTAAAGTTTAACATTTTGTCGATTTCCTGTCTTTATCAGCACAAAAGTATTTCTGTTCATTTTTTAGGCGTGAACATTCACACATCCGTTAATTAAAATTACTAGTGAGCCGCAAACTCCAAAAACTGTTAAGTCTTAGATGGGACCGTAGCAATTTTTCAAAGCCCCTGACGTATTCACTGAATTTTCTAGGCCGCGTTTTGGTGCACAAAAATAGTTTTGTATTCATTATTGTATGACCATGATGACAGTGATTTTGTTTACTGTGCTCAACACGCATGCACCGATCTATTTCCTTGCTTCATTAGATTCTGAGTCGCGTTTTAGTTCTTTATGACTGGCTTTCTAAAACAGCTCTATTTGTTCAGAGAACCCATCATAAGCCTGAGATTTAAACCCGACAAGGTTTGTCAGTTGCTTTTGTCAAGCTTTTGTCAAGCTGGTGCACAAAAATAGTTTTGTATTCATTATTATATGACCATGATGACAGTGATTTTGTTTACTGTGCTCAACACGCATGCACCGATCTATTTCCTTGCTTCATTAGATTCTGAGTCGCGTTTTAGTTCTTTATGACTGGCTTTCTAAAACAGCTCTATTTGTTCAGAGAACCCATCATAAGCCTGAGATTTAAACCCGACAAGGTTTGTCAGTTGCTTTTGTCAAGCTTTTGTCAAGCTGGTGCACAAAAATAGTTTTGTATTCATTATTATATGACCATGATGACAGTGATTTTGTTTACTGTGCTCAACACGCATGCACCGATCTATTTCCTTGCTTCATTAGATTCTGAGTCGCGTTTTAGTTCTTTATGACTGGCTTTCTAAAACAGCTCTATTTGTTCAGAGAACCCATCATAAGCCTGAGATTTAAACCCGACAAGGTTTGTCAGTTGCTTTTGTCAAGCTGAAATACTGAAACTGGCAAAGTACCCAAATTTAGCCTCAAGGTATGGAAAAGATAGTTAATCAGCCTTTCGGGGAAACTTATAGTCAATTGATACACCGTATCAACGAGTCTAAGGTTAATTGTTCTGATATCATGATCATTTAGCAATGTCTTGTTAAGTGACAATGAGGCAAAGTGGAAGGTTTATCATCTTTTCCACAGTTGGATTTCAGGAAAGTCCCGTATTGGATCGAAGAACTTGAGACAAGGCGTCATTCAAGAGCGGATTAAATCGGCATGTGTTTCACCTTTAACTTTACGAACAGAGCACAAAAACTACAAAACCAAATAAACATTTCTACTCTCCTTAATTTGCAAAAGTTAAAAGACTATGTTTTGTCACTTTCAGTTTCTCGAATAAATTAGAAAAATTCGTGTTGTCTCCTTGCGGAGGGTTTTTTCTCTGTTGATCACAACAAGACCATAATTCATGGAAAAATATCAGCAAAAAGCTGTGACGTTTTTTTTAAAAAAATACCAAAACAACAATGAACTATGAGCGTGAATTGTCCGTGCTGTGCAAATTGTTAAATTATCTTTCGATTGATCGTCATTGTCTTCATTCTTTCTTTTCTACTATTGAGTTAATCCCTTTATTGAAATTTAATTAATTCATCGTCTTTCGTATCATGGTTTTCTCACGAACCTCACTATTAATAAAAATTCTTATTTCATAAACTGATGCGAAAGGAAATTTCAGTGAGGGTAAGGTTGATTTAATGAGGTGAAGTGACTCAAAAGAAGAGCATTAAGATATAATTCACATCTTAATAAAATCCATATCCAGCTACCAATAACTGTCTTCTGAAAAATAAAATCTATAGGCGGACTGCTTCAAATTTATTCCGTTATGAGCCTTACTAAATATAATTCACTAACATTTTAACTCAGCAAATAACAGTTTCCGAATAAGATATTGCATACGTTGCATAAAGAATTAGATTGAGGGCTAAAAAAAACTTAGGGTATGATCGACATAAATGGGCTTATTTAGTGATTGTAAAGTTAGGATCTCGTACTTTGCAGTTTTAATTACTATACATGTAGTTTATTATTATCAAAAGTTTAGAGAGTTATCTGTTTTCTTTTTGTTCTTACGTTCTATCATTTCACAAAAAACAAGCACTGTTTGACTTACCTCTATAAAAGTCTTCCGAATGTACAACTGCGAAGAACGTAACGAGACATAGCGCAAAACCATTTAAAATCGTCATTTTGTTTGCCGGTGATTGGCTGATATGCATTACTCCCCTCTGCAGTGCAATGCTCATTTGCTGGAGTGAACTTGATTACTCTTCAATTTATACTATCCCACTTTAATTGAAATTCCAATGGGTAACCTCCACGAGTTCATAATGTGGGCAGAATGGTGGGGCTCTCTGCATTCATGGAATACAGAAATAGGATTCGATAGGTTGGTCAATGACGAAAACAAATGACTTCCGCGTGGGGTGTTTTCACAGCACTAGATTGGCTTACTGATGCGATGTCACGCACGACTGGAAAACAGGACGCAATTATTTTATTTGTTTAGTTCACACGAAGGAAAGCTCTCGGCTCTCGTGTTTGCAGTCCTTGATTTAGTCACGTTACAAAGTTAAAACCACTCGAGGTTAAAATACCCGGTTAAATCTGATTTGTTGATGTACATTGGGGAGAAAAATACGATCTTTGTTATGTCGTATATGTCGCGTAAAGTAAACATTTTTACTATTTTGAACATTTCCTTTTTTGGCTACAGAACACCTTAAAAGTAAGAAATGGCTTTGTAAGTTTCGACTAGTTTCCGTCTTAGTGCTAATTTTTTTCCCGCCTGTGGTCGGATTTAAAAATATTTTTGTTCAATAAGTTACTGGCCACGCCTCGCTTCAGCAACAAGACCGTCTGAAAGCACACCCTAACCTCGACCGCAATCACCTGTTCTTTTTAGGTGTTTTGTGCTTGGAGCGAGGTTAAATCATTAATTTAGGAGATATTTTTTAAGGATCTTTAAGGCAAACGAATACTTGGGAGCGCATGGGAACTAAGACACAAAAACCGTCTGAAATCTGTTTTTCTTTCCGCGCTTCTTGAGTAGTTTGAAAAAGTTTGCAAGATTTACCTCAGTTTTTAGTAAAAAAGAGTAGCAGTATATAAAACAAGATCAAGCCAAGTCAAGCAACGCTTTCTGCGTTAAGTGGATTTTCTGTATTTTTTCAAACACATAAATTATGTCATTTCTCATGCAAAACGAGCTGAGCGTTGCTTATTTTAGAATTATAAAAACATACCAACTTCTCTCGATCTTTTGAGACTGGACCGTTACAACTGATTAATATAAGTTCATTTGTTGTGTTTAAGGTTGACAAGGAACGGTCAAATATCCGGTGATAATTGAATTTACTATAAGAAAGCCGCCTAACAAATGTAACAAACTTGAAGAAACCTAAAATTAATCGTCGGAAAGAATAATCCCTCTTTTTTTTCGGGAGAAATCGGAAGGAGCTGTTGAGATCATTGGCGAGTAGTTTGAAGTGTTGAAATTGTTTTATGGCTTCCGAAAAGTCCAGAAAACTGACCCGCGGAACTAGTAGTGTTTCGATTATCTTCGGAATAAGTGGGATAAGCATTATCTGTTTCCTGTTTATTTGTTTGAAGCTTCCGAAGACTCCTAGGGCTTTGGAAGGTTTAGGAGGTTTCGAAAAACGTCGCAATGGATGAGGGATATTTCTAGAAAAATGTCAGAATTTGTTTTTGTAATCCCCAGCTTAGGTTACGGAACTAACGGCTAAAACGTAGCGCGTAAGCAGGCGCGAGGAGAGTAAAACTGGGACGCGGAGATACTTGTTAAAAAAATCGAAGTCTTAGGCGAAAATATTTAGCAAATCGGGAGTTGCAAAAAGCTTTGTTCCCGGAAGCGTTTGTGAGTGTCGAGGTAGTGTTTCTGAGTGCTTTTTATTCCATCTTGAAGTCTATATTTTGTTGCAAATTCCACTCAGTGAATGAAATTTACTTAGGAAGAATAAAATGCTATCAAAGATGTAAAATGTTGAGAGCATCAGAAAGAAACATTTTGTTTATGTCAGTTACTTGACCGAGATATATTTCAAACGCGGGCGTTGAAATGTGTTCCTCCCGTAAAAAGATTATTCTATGCCCTCGGGCCACTGCACCTTTAGAAACATATAACCACGCACAGAAAACATATACTGTATAGTTGTTTCATTGCCTAAAATGTACGCCCACTTTTTTTAAAAGAGAGTTACTAATAACAATTTTTTGTTGTTGTGTTTATTGCACAATTTAGACTCCCTGGTGGAGAGGGCATCGCATGCTCGTGCCTCTTTATAACCCAATATAATTAAATCTCCAATGGTGAATAAAGCCATGTTTTTTGTCCTGGTGTCAATGCGTAATCAACCAGGGAGGTCATAAGAATCAAAGACATTGACACAGTCAGGATTAAATTTTTCACAAAATTTTTCAAACTCTGCCCGGCCCGCGAGCTTCTTTAAGAAACCTATGAACTCGGTTTGTAGACAAGCATAGAGGCTGACGAGGTTCTAAAGAAGCAAAAATTATTAAACACAAGCGAAATTTAACAGAAACAGAGGGTAGGTAAGGCATTGTCTACTCGTTTTCGTCTCTGCATACTTCTTATTGGCCGGCTACACCCTCGGTCAGAGTAAAGTGGAGGAAAGCGAACCACCCCTCCCCCGAATACACTAAGGATCAAACAACCAAAGGAAGAGAGGGATAGCTTTTGTGGCTTATCATTAGCGATACCCTCGAATATTCAGATTACTGCGCTCATATAAAACTACAGCTATCACAGTTCCCATACAAACCTTCAAATTTTACGCCTTTTTCACCCCTACGCGTTTTCTATCAGAGCTCTTCGTTCATGATACCATGAAGATAATAACATATCATCACTTTGGGAATTATCAAAGGTCAGACGGTTCAAGAAGAAGGTATTTAGAGTTATTGAAGCCTATCATGTTTTAAAACCAACATGCTGTTATTGTTCTTATTCGATGGGACCAAGGGTGGGGCATTCTGAGAAAACAAGAGTGGGGTGTGTGATAAAAAATTTTCACGAGCAAAAATTGCAATTTATCCCAACTCAGTTCTGACCTAATGAGAACTGAATTTTACAAGAGGCGAATAATGAAATGAGCCTAATCCATGACCCATGTTCTTGATAACACAAATCCATATCCCCTTTCAAAGTTGAAAGGCTCCCAGTTTAAGCCTGAAGGTAGGTAAAACGAGCAACAAAAAAGCGACTTGTTTTAATTTTGCTTCTTAGCAGCCAAACGAGTTAAATAGCGATCTTGGGCGTTTCACCACTCCCAAGAAAAAAAAAATGGAACCTTATTTGTTACAAGACAGGTTTCGGACGTCGGGGGTAAAACGTGCAACACTGCTATTCAACTCGTTTTGAACTAAAGTTGCAAAACAAGTTGTTTTTTGTTGCCCCGGTTTTACTGTAGCTTAAAGGGCTCCAAAACCACACCCTTTAGCGTCGCAGACTTCCATTCACCTGTCAAACTCTAGTCATTTTTCAAACCTTCCGAAAATTCGAGCCAATAGGCCACTTCCGAGTTCGAAAAACCCTCATTTTCAAAACGAGACCATGTGCAAAACCTTTCTTGTGATAATGAGTTACATTTGCGTGAAAACGAAAAATCATTTCCATATCAATGGCGTCGAAGTCAGCCTCGCTTTAACCCTTTAATCCCCAATATCCACACGCAAATTCTCCAAACTGATCTCCCTACATTTTTTTAAAGAATTCGTTGAGAGATTTTGATAAAGGATCAAGGCATTTTCTCTTTGGTGATCATTTTATTAATTCTCGTAACTTTATCTCTTGACAATGTATGGACATCGTTAGGAGAAAATTGTTGTTGGTCACTGTTGGGACTTAGATAGTTAAAATGGTGGCTTGGGGTAACTCAGAAATGGTCTATTCGCCTTCCTTTGGTGACGCGGTTAAACGGCTTTCCATTGTACAGTGTATGATTATCGGGAACTTTGAAAAAACCGGCGAGCCGCTCTGGCGGTTCAAAATATTGGGCTTTTACTGTAAATGAAACGAAACATGACACATAACATCTTTTAGAATCCCAATGGTAGGAAGCGAACCAGTTGATTAAGTTACAAGCATATCGGTAGGCGAGGACCTCAACTCAGGGCCTTTGACTTTAACCACTCGACCTCGCTGACTGCTTCCTCTTGCTGCAGAATCTCATTTAAATAGAAAAACGCAAACTGAGATACCATTGTTATAAGACGTTCATTGTAAGAGTAAATAATAAACGACTTCTTATTCAAGTCAAAGCCCTATGGCTGGAACCTCTCGTAAAAGACCAGCTTTGGTAAAAAACCAGCCTGAGACCAGGCTCCGCATTGGGGGAAATAGAAGAAAAAAATCGGCGAGAGAAGCGAGCCGAGCGGTAGTCTGGGGAGAGGAAGGGGTGGCGGAGCTTCCCCGCCCTTTTCCACTCCCCAGCTTAATTAAAATATTGTCTTTCTCCGTAAATTCATTCAGGCAGTTACATCTTATCCTATAAGAATAAAATCAAATAAAATAAGACCCAAACACTCCACAGGTAGCTGCAGTGTTAATCTTACCTAGTGAGTTGTGCTATTTTCATAATTCATAATTTTCCATTGTATTTAACTTCTGGTAAGCGACTACAACATTGATTTATCAACATGTAAAATTAGTTTACTCGGATAACTGTTAACAATACCTCGGGTTCAAGCTTACATCGCAAAACAAAAAAGCTTACAAATATAATTTACCTTCTAAGAGGCGCTTTTTCTAGTTGGTCCTGTGTGGCTTACTTTATAAACTCTTTAAAAACAATTTATTTTACTTTTTAAAATGGCAATGTTTAAGCTTTCCAACGTGAGTTCGCTTGAGTCTTGTCGTCTTGGTATAATTCCCATCTTAAATGTGTATACGCGTTATGCGTTTCCACTGTGGTATCTTCGTTTGTTGCAAAGCTCTAGTTATTTTAAGTTTATGCTACAGTGCTCGTTTGTATTCTTGTTTTCGTATTATAAATATTTTGGCACCACAGCTCGTCTTTTATCCTGAAAGGAAAAGAAAACATAGTGAGCACATACAACTGTTACGCTGCAAAATGTAAAACATTAACGCAAACTTTAACAACCCAGTCTCCAACTATAAACAGAAAACCATTTAGGCTTGTTAGCCTCCTTTAAAGAATTGATACGGGGCCCACAATATGAAAGTGCTTGCTTCTGTTGAGGAAAAATATTTAACAAATCGACAACGCAAATTAATGGTCTATACTCTTATAGACAAGATAATAGAAATGACGTAGAAATGTTGAGTGCTTAAAAGGAAACATAAGCCGCAGGCGAATGTTTTCACTACAAAGTTTTAAACTTTAAGAAATCATTTATATGGTCGATAAGAGCATAGACGATTGAAAAAATTGTCGCGTTGTTTTTACAATAACATTGACAGTTTTGACGCGCCCAAGAATGCAAAACGTTCATTTCCCGTTAACATGCGTCGCTCAAAAACGGATTCGTCCGGAATTTTTTCCGGGACAAATCTCCAGCTTTTTGCTCTCTTGAACGGCGGTCTGGAATTGCTTTTTTTGCTGACTTGTCTCTTGAGAACAACGGTTCAGGTGAGAAATAGTTAGACAAAATTAAACTTTTACGAATGTCTGAGGGATTTGTTGCTCATTAAGAGTACAGACCATGGAAATGACGTGATGGTGGCGCAATTTGTTTTCTCTTTTTTGTGTTTCCTTTTTCGCGAGAAAGAGAAAACTGTCAGTGTTATACTTTTCTCTAGCTGCTATCCGAAAGGTGCCTGTTGTGATAAAAGCTGGAATCTTTACTGCAGTTTTAGAAATTTTGAACCACCTTTGTCACCACCTTTGGGAACGGACGAAGTGAACTCAAAATTTGTAATTGGCACTTCTATGGTCAATAAGAGTACAGGCTATGGAAAATTTGCACATCCCCACCAAAATTTCTTCACGTGTACCCATGCACCTTGGTGCTCGAAGCTTTTTTCTGTTAACTAGAGCTGGGAAGACCAAGATAGTGGTAGTTCTCATTGGACTTTGGGCATCTAACGTCTATTCAGATTATTGACTACCCTGTAAGAGGCATACCTCGACACATCTTGTTACTCAGCTCTTCTGCGACGCTGAAGAGTCCTTGGAATGTTTTCACCATTAGCACATTTTGATCACTGTCTGTGAGCGACCTCAGTTCATCGTAACGCACATCGTTGCCAACACCAACGGCAAACACTTTTACACGCTTCCGTCTTAATGGCTCAACCGCGTACCTGAGCGGAATAGAATCGAACGTTCTAGTTTGGTGACCTTCCGTCAATATCACAGCAACTCTGCGAACGCCCGCTCTCATACCAGATCTGCTGTTAAACACGCCGACTGTTGCAACCCTCAGGGCCTTGTCAATCCGCGTCTTTCGGCCCAGATACGGGACGTCTCGAAGCGCTTTATTAAATTTCAGGATTTCTTCGTGGTCGTCCAGCTTTATTTGCACTCTCGCGGTGTCGCTGAAGATGACCACACTTGCGTGGCTTCCTGTCGGTGAAATCTCTAACGATTTTGCAATGTTGCGAACGAGGTCAAGCAACTTCTGGTAGTTTTTCAATCCAACACTTTCGGATGAGTCAATTATGAAACTTACATCCATAACTTGCTCACATCTGGGAAGAGCTAATTAAACAGAAAAGATTAGACTGAATACAGTAAGAATACCAAATGATAACAATAATACAGTGGCAGATCCAGGGGAGGGGCCCGGGGGGGGGGCGCCCCCGTTATTTTTCGACCAAAATGAAGCCCGAAGGGCCGAAAAAATGTTTTTGCAAACCGCCCCCCCTTATCTCAGGGTCTGGATGACCGCCCCCCCTTATCTGAAGGTCTGGATTCGCCGCTGTGAAAAATACAAAACCTCTAACCAGTTAATGAGTTAACTGTAAGATGACTGCGAGAAAATAGCCCCATACTCTCACAAATAACTTAAACTCGCTTATATCAATAACCTCAACCAAACATTTAATAGAAAAGACGATAATATGTCGCACCAAATTCCATAGAATCACATTTCTACTTGACGCTAAGAAGCACTTTCCCGAACGGAGAAAGGAATCGCTTAAAAGTTACCGGTTCTTTTGGTTTTGGACTTGGTTTTTTTAGGATAACGTATCGTTCACTGCTAAAGGAAAGACTCAGCAAAAATATACTGGCTTCAAATCTCGCTGCTCTGTGTTTTTTGTTTTCAACAGCAGCAACAACAATAATAAATTAAAAATAAACAAATAAATGACTATCCAAGTTTATTCTTCAAACACCCCTCCTCACTCTTACTGGCCGAATTGTTAAAAATTTCCCCCTGTTTTGCTTTGTACAAAAGTCACGCATCTCTGATTACCTCCACTTTCGCAGGTGTCCCTTGATATTTTACGCAGCTGAAGAGCCAGATCATCGTACGTCTCTGTGCGATACAGGTCCTTTTTTCGCTGAGTGAGCAAGTAAAGATTGTTCCTGCCTTCTTCGTTTCCAGTTGCAACCACGAACACACGCACCCCAGCACGATGAAGCGGTGCGACTGCGGCGTCAAATGCGACTGCGTCGGGGGTGTCTGTGTTAACGCCGTCTGATAGTACAATCATGATCTTTGGAATGTGCTTTCGAACGCCTTCCTTACCTGTAAAGAGTTTTTCATCTGCCAGCATTAGAGCACGATCCAACCGCGTGTACCCTCCTTTATATCGGACTTTTCGCAGTACACTTTGAAACCGTTCATGGGTCAATTGGTCCGAAAACCACACTTTGATCTTGGGGACAATGCTGAACTGAATAAGACCTACTCGACTTCCGACTTTGCTTTTCAGAAACGAAGCTGCCAAAAGATCGATGAAATCTTTGCTCTGTTGGAACTGTGTTGGTGTCAAGCTACCAGAAGAGTCTAACAGGAACGCCACGTCCATTGTGTTATCACAGGGGTCGATTTCTGTGGGCAGAAGTTGATAACAGATATTCGAATGAGATCTCTTTGGTTAAGGTGATTATTGTTTCGAGAGAGAAGATTTGGCAACGTTAGGCCTGTTACTGATAATTAATAAGGATATGTTTTGAAAAAGTGACTGATATACAGTGTAGTGGGAGAACAATGACTATGCTTGTAAGAACATCAGCAGCTTCGGTCATACCAGGAAATGCGAGAATGTATCGGAAATATATGCCTATTCGTACTATTATGTGATGCGAATATCACAATAAAAGCCAGGGATGGTTATTTTACGAAACTAAAATTTACGCGCATTTAAGAAGTAACAGAACCGTTGAGACTGTCTCTCGTCTTCTCTAAGAACGACTGCAAGCAGTACAGTAGAATATAACCTAATCCAAGATTCGATTTAGGTTTGGTGAAATAGTCGAACTTACACGCTAACACGAAGTAAGGAGTTCTTGGTACATATGTGACCACTCTCCTTCGCAGCCGTTCGGGACGGAGTCACGCAATGTTCCCCGCCCTCACGCGGGGACGGGGAGCATTGCGCGACTCCAACCGAGCGGCTGGGAAGGAGACTAATGTGACATGCTTACCTGAACTTTCACAAGCGGCTATCGATAGTTGACGCGCGCGTACGGAGAGTCCATCAAACGATGGAACCATAATGGCATCGTCTTTGTTATCAACCATCAGCCGTAACTGTCTGTCATCTACATCCTTTCCAATCCCCACGGCAAAAATCCGGATACCAGCAGATAGAAGAGGGGCTACTGCCTTTTGAATATCCATAGCATACGGCGCGTTTGACTGTCCTCCATCTGTAAGCACTATCACTACCTTAGCCACTCCCACACGAGCCCCACTAGGATGATTAAGCAGCTCAGCAGACGCCAGCTGAAGAGCCTTGTCAATACGTGTCTCACCTCGCATGTACGGTAAGGCGTCAACGGCTGCATTGAAAACGGTATTGTTCGTGGCATCAGCAAAGCGAACGGCGGTGGTTGCGCTCGAACCGAAGATTATTACACCTGCACAAGTTGTACTCGGTCCAATAACGAAGGCGTCGGCAACTTTTTTCACAAAGTCCTTCATCGTTTCGTAGCTCCGTTCTCCTATGCTTCCCGAAGAATCCAGAAGAAAAGCGATATCCACAGGTGTTGGGCACTTCTTTATCTCTACCAAAATAAATCTATCATAAGTTACACGGCACTAGTACTTGAGATAAAAGGGTCATACATTTTTATTTGCTGAGATTACGCTAAGGCGCTCACTCATATACGAACAGTTTTACAATAAAAAATTATTTTATTCTGAGAAAGAGTAAGTCTCCCAATAAGGGTTTAATTTGTTTTTAGGGTTACATTTTTGACTACTGATAATAAAACAACATTATTTTAAAACTCTCTTGCGTCTTGACAAAAGACGGCACAAAAGGTGATGTCTCTCTTGCTACAAAAGTTTTTCTAGCTACCAGGTGTTCATATCGTCACCCACAACTTATACACAAACAATATTTTTTATTCTTTTTCGGACTTTTGCTTTGGCTATCTTTTTCGAAGGGTTTGAGCAAACGGTTAATTACTCACTTGCGCTTGAACAAATTTTCTTCGATACTAGATGTAAAGAAGAGAGTAGGTCGTCAAAGCTGTCAACCGTCATGACGTCGTCATCTTTATCTACCACCCTGCGTAGCTCTGAAGCGCTCACTTTTTTTCCAATACCCAAGGCCAGTCTTGCCACCTTTTTACCTTTAAGTGGTTTAACCACCTGCTCCAAAGCGATAGAGTCAAGCGCGGGCGTCTGCGTTCCATCCGTTAACAACAGAAGTGCCTTCGCCGCGTGAGATCTGCATCCTCCCGCGGCACTAAACATGGCCGTGTTCGCCAGCGATAAAGCTCGATCTATTCGTGTGGTTCGTCCATAGTAAGGCAAGCGATCTATAGCTTGCATGACGGACTTGGTTCCGTTGCATTGGTCAAAAGACTGCTGAACGGTTGCTATATCACTGTAGACTACTGATCCTGCATGAGCTATACCCTTTTCGATTGCTAACGTACCGGCTGCCGCTTTAATGAAAGCTTTTTGCATTTCAAAGTCAGCTGCGCCGATACTGCCTGACGAATCCACTAGGAAAGCGACATCTATTGGCTCAGAGCAAATGGGAGGTTCTGAAAATCAAAGAATGCATAGTCATGTACAAACTGGGTATATGTATACTTGTCAGATCGCTGTCAGGCATGTAATATGGACACGTATAGCAGGGGTTACTCCTTGATGATGTACCAAAAAGAAAACTGAGGCTCTTTATTTTGTGCTAGAACAAGACGAAAATTTTTTCGTCTCGTATTTGAACCACTTAAGGTAACACAATTTTTCTATAAAGTATATTTTGAGAATTTTCAACAACTTACTTGCTGCCTCACAAGTGATTTTCGAAATAGAGCCGCTTAGACTGAAGAGATCTTCAAATGCCGGTGCCAGGAAAACATCCTTAGCAGTACGAGTAACGGTGCGTAGATCAGTTTCTTCAAACCCTTGGCCCATTCCTACGGCTAGTATCCTAATATTAGCTTTATGAAGCGGATGTGCTGCGTCTTTGAGATTCGATACTTCTGGAACTAACGTCTGTTTTTCACTTGCTAATAAGATCAAAATTTTTGGAACAGCCCGTCGTATAGCACCAGTAGTGTGGAAGAGCGAAAACGCAAGTTTCAAAGCCCTGTCAATTCGTGTCTTTCCACTTTTTTGCGGTAGGCCGTCAACGAGATTATTAAACAATTCCAGGGTAGATTTATCTCCAAGTTCGGCGCTAACTGTGGCAAAATTACTGTACAGAATTAATCCCACCCGGCTTTTACCAGGTGCAATGTTCAGCGTTGTTGCAACCCGTTTGACGAATTCCTTTTCTTTTCGGTAGTTAAGAGGACTTAGGCTATCAGGAGAATGGACCGCAAAAATCACGTCTCCTATGCCATCACATTGTCTGTAGGCTTAAAGAAAAGAAAAAAAAATGTATCAGTTTTTAAAAAGCAAAACAACCATAGTACAATCTTAGTACCATAAGAAAGTGTTGTCAAAGACTTTTTATTTGAATGGATTCATGCTAAGGTGTTTTCCTCGGTCGTTAAAGTTAGAACCAACTACAAGACTCCATTATTCACTTTAAGCCGTGAAAAGGTTACCTTCATTATTAATACCCGCGCTAAAACCCTGGACCCTGTTGTTGAAACGTTGGATACCGCTAATTGTACTACCACTGGATAGAGATTTATCCGGTGGTTAGCGCTACTCAGCCTTTGAACAACTGAGGCCAGATCTTTTGTGGGGACACTCTAGTTTTACCCAGCAGTTCAAAATTCAAAATCAGTCTTAAAAAGGCCCTTAAGGGCTTTGTGAGTTAACAAACTACATTAACTTTTTTAAATATTAAAAAGGTATATTTATATTTCTAAGCTCCAAAATTAAGTTAAAACTATTATGATAAGTCCTCTGATATGTTCACAATGAACAATATATCTTTCTCATTAGTAGACGATTTAACCAAACAAATGTTGTCCATTGCGTTTGTAGTAATGATGGCTTATCTGCAATCAGTTAGTATCCTGTGCAGTCTATTACGGATCAGATGCTTACCTGCTTTATAACAGGTCCGCCGGAAAAGGTGACTGACTTTGGCCACAAGACTATCACAGGAACGTGACCTGATTACATCTTTAGGGTCCCTGGTGAGGACGCGTAACTGCCTCCAGTCCGCTAGCGACGTAACCCCAATTGCTATGACCCGTACCCCTGCTTGATGAAGCGGTTCTACGGCAGTCTTAACATCATCAGAGTATTTCTTGCCAGGTCGTTGCTCATTTGTCAGGACTATACAAACCTTCTGGACTCCAGGTCGCGCTCCTGAAAACATAACAGGGTAACAAATATGTACATGAAAACACGGTGAAATGTTCTATTCATACCGACAAATTAATGGAATAAGAACGAAAGTATATCATTTATTTCCTGAATATCTGGCTGTAACCTAGGTGTTAAGCCTCTCTCCCTTAGCGGTTAGGCGAGTCTCCCTCTTTTCATTTTGTTAAGTGATTTTGTTCTAATGTTAAGTTTGCCAAGGGGTTTAGGTGTCTACTTTCTTGCACTCTCTGCTGTAATCCTCTGCTCTATGTTCACATTTCGTGTTTTTCTTGTATTTTGCTCCGTATTCCAAACGGTTAGATAATAAAGAAAATTAGCAAAGGGCTAACAAAGTGAATGTGTTTTGTGAAAGCGCGACTTAATGTCTCATGGTTCGTAATAGGATATGAGGATTCCTTCCGAAGGTAGCAATGGAGAGATTGAATTCGTCCTGCTTTGAGAAACGTTTGGCCATAAGACATGGGAATCAGCTAAGCCACAGGACTCTCTTCTTTAAAAAGGAACCCTTAATATTGAGAAATTCTAAGGTAACTAACGATTCAATTGCAAATGTCATCAACACACAAGAAACCTTCTTAAGGTGTTATATTACACTAATGCAATCATATAGTCACCTCCTTTAGCTGTAAAGACTTGGGAAAAGACGAATTGAAGGGCATTGTCAAGTCTCGCTAGTCCTTTCTGGAGCGGAAGACTGTCAATTATTTTTTTAAAATCAAACTCGGAGTGGTATTGGCCAAACGCAACTCGTGTTGTTGCCTGGCTGCCATACAAGATGATTGAAACCTGTTGTTCGCCTTCAAAGGCCAAGAGATATTTCACTATGTCCTTGATAAAGTCCTTCATGTTCTGGAATTCATTCGGTGGAACGTTCGCGGATGATTCCACTAAAATGGCAACGTCTAGTGAAACATCACAGGATTGCGGTGCTATCAAGGGAACAGAGTGAGTTGCAGTGGTCACAGTGTTAAATTCAATAAAATGAGACCGTGCTAGAGGTTTGAGGCAGAAGTTATATACAACGTGCAAGGCCCGCGCATAGGGGGAGGGGCGCTGGAGGGGCCACGCCCACCCCCCCAAATTTTTGAAAAAAAAAATTAAGAAACACATTTCAAATAAAAGGAATCTTTGATGGAATAAGAATATAAGACTGGTGGACCTCGCCGAAGCATTCAAATTTATGATTGGTCCATTTCGATCCTCAATCGTATGTCGTAGACTTCTGCGTTTTCAACAGCCAGGTGATGTAGTGTATGCAAAAACAATGGATTTTTTTTATCAAGCTTCTTAAATCTTCACGTAGCCACGATTTCTTAAAACAAATTGAACTCGATGACACTGTAGACAGCATGAAGAATTTTCAGGAATTACATTCAGCAGAGCATGATAAATGAAATTGTCTCGATCTGAAAGCTTCTGCTGGTAAATCCTGCAACCATCACAGCAGGAAAAGGTCCTTTTCTGCAGCTCGAAGGTTAAAAACATGGCTCCGTTCAACAATGATTAAAGAAAGCTTCTAGATACCCGCAAGGAGAGAACGGACAAACTTTTGAAGTAAATGAAACACGGGCAAATTATGGTGCTGCTGTGCATGGTTGCACTTTGTTTGTTACTAACTCCTTTTTCGTTTGTTAAACTATTAAAAAATGCTTGATGAGTTGTAACTGTATTAAAAAATATTGAGTCGGCACAAGGTAAACCATTTTTAAAGTCCACAACCCCTTCCGTCCAACTGCACTTCAAAAGAGGTGGATCGCCACCCCCCCCCCCCAACACCCCACTCACAAAAACTCCCCCGGGCCCCCCCCATTCTCCCCTTTTAAAAAATTTAAAAAATGTGTTTGCAAAAAGCGACAATATTTTCTCCCCTCTCGAGAATCGGACCCCCAAAACCCCTGTTCCTCGCCACACCCCCCCCCCCCCCCCACAACCCCACTTTCAACACTGCTCCGCGGGCTCTGACATGTTCTCTGTTTCAAAAATTGCAAAATTGCGTTGCGACAAACTGCGATTAGTTTTCCCATCCTCTGGATGCGATGCCACTCAATCCTAGTGTTCCCCCTGGTTTGGTCTTTCGCTATAAATAACGACATTTAGGATAAAGGGTGATATCGTAATCAAAAAAGTACCTCCTTAAAAAAAAACCTAGGTGGATATGCAAGAAACCAGAAAATCCGTAATAAGAGTTCAAAATATAAAGTTGCCCCACTAACCCCCTAGGATAGCAGCCTTCTCAAACACATGATTTTTTATAGTGTTCTAATTTTTATGATTCTTTATCATAAAATCTATTCTGTAAATACCTGCTTCTTCGCATATACTTGTAGCCACTGATTGCGCAACATTTGGTAACAGTTCCACAGAAGGAGCGTGAAAAACGTCTTTATTTCGGCCTGCCAGCTTCTGGAGACCTTTCTCATCTGCCAGTTCACCAATTCCAACCACTATTGTCTTAACACCTAACTTTTCCAAACTTGAAGAAGACTCGTCTAAGGGTGTGGTGTCTGAGTCAGGTGTTTGTCTTCCGTCTGTCAGAATTACCAAGACGCCAGGAATGTCTTCTCTTCTCCCAGCTCCTGGAGTCATGAGCTCTTTAGTTGCAATGGCAACTGCTTTGTCAATCCGGGTGGTTCTACCAATGTATTTCATTGATTCGACAGCGTTGATCAAGTCTTCTTGGTGTTGATGATCTGACAGTTTTATCTCCACTGAGGCTCTGTCGCTGTAGGTTATTACACCAATCTGGCTGTGAAAAGGAGATATGTCCAGAGTCGCTGCTACTGCTTTTATAAATTCCTTTTGCTTATTGAAACCTTCTTCTTCGAGGCTACCAGAGGAGTCCACTAGGAAAGCGACGTCAACTGGATTGATGCATCTAGAAAATCCTTAAAAACAAAGAAACGACAAGAGAAAAAGCAATAGCAATAGGCAACTCATGAAGACCCGCGCTGAGGTTTTGTAGGCGGATCGCCCTTTTAATGAAGACTACAAGGCAAAGATAAAAAACGTAGAAACTAACCTGCGTTATCACATGCCATCTTCGCAAGTTGCCGTGTTTTCAACATTAGGCTTTTAAATGAATCCTCAAGAAACAAATTCTCTTCTTCGGTGACCAAAGAACCAAGCACCTTATCGTCTACCTCTTTACCGACCACAATGACGTACACCGTTACTCCCATACGAAGGAGTTTCTGAGCAACGACACCGATCAGTTCGCCGTTCCGTGTTGCATTTTGTTTTCCGGTGGTCACTATGATCAATATCTTTGACAGTCCAGGCCTAGCCCCGCCTTGAGATACGAACAATTTAGATGTGGCCAGGTTTAAAGCTTTATCGATCCTTGCTGTTCCTCCTATGTAAGGAAGCTTATCAACTGACTCCTTCAAATCCTCGACATGTAAGTGGTCACTTAATTTGATATTTACAGCTGCATCTTTGCTCGCAATAATGACTCCTACACGGCTTCCCGTGGGGCGTATGCCAAAACTTTCAGCGATAGCTTTGACAAAATCTTTTTGTAACTGATAATCTTCCATACCGACGCTATCTGAGGAATCCAATATAAAGGCGACATCGGCGGATTTAGTGCATTCATCTGGAGCTGAAACAGCAGAGAAACAAAATTTAAAAATAGATTACTGAGCAACGATGTCCACTAAAAATCTCTCCTAGGAAATAAAAAAAATAAAGACTGAATTAACTTCAATGAGCATAGTCACACCAGGTTATTAAAGAGCATGTTTGTGAATTTTAACCCTAACTACCTGCACATTAAATTCGTTCGTCAATTAGATTTCATAGTTTCGTTTTGCAAACAATCAACCCAAAAGCCTTTCAGTTGATGGATGGTAAATAAAAAGAAAAAACCTATTTAGATGGGATTGCATGGTCTTTTGGGAACCAACACAGAATACATAAAACAAAGGCGTCTATACTATGGAGGAGGCATAAAGAGAGGCTTTTACACTAAAAGGGTTCACAATTAACTCTCTCAGAGCACACATCCACGTTGAGCGGGCATTCAATGCTGACTAGGTGTAACCGAATTTTGTTCGTTCTTCCCTGGTTTTTAGGACACCCGGCTCATAGAAAGTTCACTGTCCATATATAAGCTACCTGCAATATCTGCTGCTACGACAGTCAATCTTTTGGCCGCTGCCGCCAAATTCTCAAAGGAATCTGGGGTAAATATTTGTTCTCCATCCTGAACAAGCTTCTGCAAATTGTTCTCCTGATCAGCACCATCACAACCAACAGCTATAATGAGGACCTTAACATCATTTTCTTGCAAGAGAGAAGACTCCTCCAAATGGTCTGTACCCTTGGTGGAAACCTGGTCACAGTTTGTAATTATAACAGCGGCTTTCTGCACAACAGATCGGGAAGATCCAGAGGGAGAAAAAAACTGCGCGGCTGCCGTTTCGAGGGCATTGTTAAACTGACGTTGTCCTCCAAGAAATGGAAGAGATTCGACACGTTCTAGAAGGCTATCATGTGACTGTTCGTCGGAAAAATTGACAGTGATTTCAGTTTTATTGCTGTATGACATTAAGCCTACACGGCTATGGTCTGAAGATATCTTGAAACTTCGAACAACGGTCTTAATGAAATTCTTTTCTCTCTGGAAGTCAAGGTCGCTGACGCCTTCAGACGTGTCAATTAGGAAGAGTACATCCATGGGATGAATGACCTTTTTAGGTTCTATGAAATAGAACAATACATTATTAACCTAGAGCAAGACCATCTGTAAAAAAATGGATTATCAGTCTAACTTTCACACTATGGGCAGTAACATTCTTCTTGGAAGAATAGTACTGAAAGGGTTTTTAGAACTAAGAATTCGTAAGGATCACTACTCCAGTAAAAATTGATCACAAAAAAAGGCGCAACTAAAGATTATTGTTTAATTAACAAGAGGTAAACGCCTTATTGAGAGTTGAAGAAACAGGTAGGTGGTTGTTAAGTACGAAAGGCGCGTACGAATCGACGTGGAGCTTCGTTAGCTGTTGCAATTAAAGAAAATACCCGAATTAGCACCCTGAGCGTTTGTTTAAAGCGGGCTTTGCTCTTTTTCTTCATAATTCGACCTCAAGTCTGAGGTCTGTTTCAAATGTTACCGCTAGGGGTATGAGTGTTTTATCCTATGGGAGGGCAAGCTATGGCGTGTACAAATCTTCTTTCCTAGACTTGCTAAAAAATTTGTTCTGCTGGATGAAATTTTCCGTCTTTTTGTGGATTGTTTACTCTACTTTTGTTGTTATTGAGCATGAATTTTGCCCATCGATTAGCAATGTTCAGGTACAAATCATTAGATTCCTACCACAACAGCTACTCTTTCGCGTATAAATTGATCCACACCACTAACTTTGACCAAGGAAGTAATAAGAGTTAATTAAAGGGGCTGTGTCACGGCAGTCCAGTTCATTTTGTTTAATTTTGCCAGTTACTCGCTATGGAACTTAAAGTAAGCAATGAAATTACATGTAAATGACACAAGCAGAGATTCGAGACAAACAAATATGTCTCCTCAGCATTATTTTTGAAGTTGCAAACAGCCGAGATCAACTTTGAAAAACTGTTAGGCTGAACAGTTTTCAAAAAGCCTAATTTCAATCCAATTGAATCTTCTTCAGTTGGGCCCATCTGTGGCATCTGTTGCATCTGTTGTGTTATTTTAACCTTCCTTTACTGTTTTAAGCGGTTATTTTTACGTGTCTCGTGGGCATTTTTGTAATTACCTAATTTGGAGGTAGCACATTCATAACTCAATTCTTCGCCTATCCTTCTTGATCGAATTGAAAACGATGATTTTTGATGAGAGGGGAAGCCATAGCTCCCGAAATAGTTAACATGTAAATACTCTATTACAGCCCGCGTTTTGCCTTATTCATAATATAACTTTAACTAAAGTATAGCAAAAGATGAATTCTAATGCCAAGATTTTTCATTTGGCGTCATTTGATTGATTTTATGATTTTGGAACTCACGACAATTTTATAGTTAGACGAAGCGCTTCTTATAACCACAAATATTTGTGTCAAAAAATTGAAAAGCATAGATTTGTCTTACAGTTTTTTTTTAGTGAACATGCAAAATTGTTAATAGTAGCGGAGAAACAAAAACATCAATTTGATTAGGCGACAAGCGGCTAGCTACTTATTTTTAGAAGCTAAAACCTGATAAGAAGTAAAAATAACAAGAGGGTTAAATATATACGTACTTTAGTTTCGCAACAGCACTGAGGTAAGACTTTGCAATTATTAATAGCAATGATCCTGGTTGTATTTAGAAATTCACTGCTTGTTTACCTGCAACTCTACACGCCAATGATGTGATAGGAACCGCCAGGTCACTGAGTTCTTTGAAAGAATAGGCTGCTAAGACCAGCTTATCGTTCTCTACTAGTACACGCAATCGCTGCAAACCAGCATTAGGCCCAATGCCCACTGCAATAACTGAAATACCCTCTGCTTTGTAAGGTTCAACAGAAGTGCTTAAAGATTCAAAGTCCGTGGTATTTGGTTCATGTCCATAAGAAAAAACTACAACGACCTTAGGGACACCGAGTCTTGATCCAGAACTGACAGTAAAGAGTTCATTAAAAGCCAGATCAAGAGCATGGCCAATCCTTGCAGAACCTCCCAGAAATTTAAGATCTTTCATTATGAATAGCAGGTCATGAGAATTGTTACTTTCTGAAAAGGGAATATCCAAACGAGCCTGAGAACTATAAGATACTACACCAATGTGGCTCCCAAAATAAGACACATCAATCATGCGAGATACAAGACCAACAAAGTCTATTTGCTTCTGGTAGTCAATTCTTCCCACAGAGCTTGACGAATCCAAAAGAAAAGCCAGATCCATCGGTACAAGGCATAAGGGCTTCTGTCCTGCTATTTAATATCAAAAAAGATTACATCAATCGTTTCAAACCCTCAGCGGTAATAACTAAAAAATCGCCAATAACAAAACAAAGAGACAGAAACGACAAATTGAAAGAGTTCGAAGCAAATATTAAAAAACAAAAAGGCTAAAAAAAAGTCCTTCAAAGATAGCTCACAAAGATTTAAAAACTATTATCAACGGCCGATTTCAAGGATACCTTACAGCTCACCCAGATCTACCATGCATACTAGACCCGACTCATAGCCACGCAAGGTGCCAATTGCTGACGCGCTCAAGGGCTAACAAAACAGCGCCAGCTATCATACCGACCAAACTTTGGTTGCCGGCCACCAGTCTGTTAAGGCACATTCACTTGGCGGGCTAGCTGACAGCGCAACCACATCATATATATGGCGCTTGCCACATGCATCTGACTGCTACTAAGGCCCTGGGCATTAGAGCTAAGGACAAGACAAAAGATACTTACCGACCAGTTCGCAAGCTCTGCTGGTTAGGTTGGCCAGTTTCAGCATGAGGTCTGTAAAGTCTGCGGCCACCACCACGTCCTCGTCAGTCTCTGTTATCGATCGCAGTTCATCTGCGTCCACACCGGAGCCAATACCCACTGCTAGGACGCGAACGCTTGCCTTCCGCAAGGGATCAGAGGCCACTTTCAAGTCCTTGGCGTCCTTTGCTTGCGTCTGCTTGCCGTCGGTTATTAGTATGGCAATCTTAGGCACGCCCGGCCTCGCTGCAGGGAAGATGTCCGTGCTTGCTAGATCCAAGGCCATGTCGATTCGTGTCCGGCCCCTCTCGTAAGGTAGAGCGTCTACAGCTTTGGCGAACTCCTCCGCGGTTGCATACTGTCCGAATCGAGCCTGTACGGAAGCTGTGCTACTGTATAGGACCATCGCTGCTTGACTCTGACCTGGTGCTACGCCAAAACTCCTGGCTACCTGCTTGACAAATTCCTTCTGCTTAAGGTAGTTTGTTCTTCCAATGCTGCCCGAAGAGTCCAGGATGAAAGCCACATCCACGGGAGAGCTACATGGCGGTGGTGCTGGTGAGAAGGAAAGGCAAGTCAGTCACGCTCAGGTCAAGTGCGCCTGGGCAGCCTGTAAAAACTCAGCATTGATCCCAGCCCGGGCCTCATAGCCTCGCAAGGTGCCAATTGCTGACGCGCTCAAGGGCTAACAAAACAGCGCCAGCTATCATACCGACCACACTTTGGTTGCCGGCCACCAGTCTGTCAAGGCACATTCACTTGGCGGGCTAGCTGACAGCGCAACCACATCATATCTATGGCGCTTGCCACATGCATCTGACTGCTACTAAGGCCCTGGGCATTAGAGCTAAGGACAAGACAAATGATACTTACCGGCCAGTTCGCAAGCTCTGCTGGTTAGGTTGGCCAGTTTCAGCATGAGGTCTGTAAAGTCTGCGGCCACCACCACATCCTCGTCAGTCTCTGTTATCGATCGCAGTTCATCTGCGTCCACACCGGAGCCAATACCCACGGCTAGGACGCGAACGCCTGCCTTCCGCAAGGGATCAGAGGCCACTTTCAAGTCCTTGGCGTCCTTTGCTTGCGTCTGCTTGCCGTCGGTTATTAGTATGGCAATCTTAGGCACGCCCGGCCTCGCTGCAGGGAAGATGTCCGTGCTTGCTAGATCCAAGGCCATGTCGATTCGTGTCCGGCCCCTCTCGTAAGGTAGAGCGTCTACAGCTTTGGCGAACTCCTCCGCGGTTGCATACTGTCCGAATCGAGCCTGTACGGAAGCTGTGCTACTGTATAGGACCATCGCTGCTTGACTCTGACCTGGTGCTACGCCAAAACTCCTGGCTACCTGCTTGACAAATTCCTTCTGCTTAAGGTAGTTTGTTCTTCCAATGCTGCCCGAAGAGTCCAGGATGAAAGCCACATCCACGGGAGAGCTACATGGCGGTGGTGCTGGTGAGAAGGAAAGGCAAGTCAGTCACGCTCAGGTCAAGTGCGCCTGGGCAGCCTGTAAAAACTCAGCATTGATCCCAGCCCGGGCCTCATAGCCTCGCAAGGTGCCAATTGCTGACGCGCTCAAGGGCTAACAAAACAGCGCCAGCTATCATACCGACCACACTTTGGTTGCCGGCCACCAGTCTGTCAAGGCACATTCACTTGGCGGGCTAGCTGACAGCGCAACCACATCATATCTATGGCGCTTGCCACATGCATCTGACTGCTACTAAGGCCCTGGGCATTAGAGCTAAGGACAAGACAAATGATACTTACCGGCCAGTTCGCAAGCTCTGCTGGTTAGGTTGGCCAGTTTCAGCATGAGGTCTGTAAAGTCTGCGGCCACCACCACATCCTCGTCAGTCTCTGTTATCGATCGCAGTTCATCTGCGTCCACACCGGAGCCAATACCCACGGCTAGGACGCGAACGCCTGCCTTCCGCAAGGGATCAGAGGCCACTTTCAAGTCCTTGGCGTCCTTTGCTTGCGTCTGCTTGCCGTCGGTTATTAGTATGGCAATCTTAGGCACGCCCGGCCTCGCTGCAGGGAAGATGTCCGTGCTTGCTAGATCCAAGGCCATGTCGATTCGTGTCCGGCCCCTCTCGTAAGGTAGAGCGTCTACAGCTTTGGCGAACTCCTCCGCGGTTGCATACTGTCCGAATCGAGCCTGTACGGAAGCTGTGCTACTGTATAGGACCATCGCTGCTTGACTCTGACCTGGTGCTACGCCAAAACTCCTGGCTACCTGCTTGACAAATTCCTTCTGCTTAAGGTAGTTTGTTCTTCCAATGCTGCCCGAAGAGTCCAGGATGAAAGCCACATCCACGGGAGAGCTACATGGCGGTGGTGCTGGTGAGAAGGAAAGGCAAGTCAGTCACGCTCAGGTCAAGTGCGCCTGGGCAGCCTGTAAAAACTCGGCATTGATCCCAGCCCCGCCTCATAGCCTCGCAAGGTTTTAAGTACCTCCTCTTCGAAAGCGTGTAAAGAGGGGGAGCTATTACACGGACCACAGTTTCGTCTGTTAAGGCGCATTTACTTAGCGGGCTGCTTTACCTAGTATTCATATACTAGAAATACGTTAAGTGGAGGACCTTTGCGTAGTTCGTGGGTGCAAGATGTAGGTAGGAAAGGAAATAAGGTAATAGGGAAGAAAAGATATAAATTTAAGAAACTTACGCTCTATAAAGAAACAAATCTGCAATGACTAAAGACGGCTGAAGGTAAAGGTAAAAAAAAAGACATCAATGGAAGAGAAAAAGAAAAATAGTTGCCGCCCGAAATCGAACACGGGAGCTTTTATGCTCAGCACCGTTTCGTTACCACTACGCCACGTGAGGACAAATATGGAAGGAGGTGATGACATTTTAAAGCCTTTCCCTTAGAACTTCCGCCAGCGCACTCTGTATAAAGTTGATCGAGCGCTATTAAACACAATCTCAAAGAGATATTTCCGGAGAATGACTGCTGTTTTGAAGGTAAAAATTCAACTAAAACGCATTTCATCGTATTTAAAGAACAGATGCCCTTTCTAAGCCGATACGGTTAAAACTGGTCTGCAAGGAAAACATGTCGTTTGGTACCTCCATTTTTGCTCATATCTTAAGGCTGGTGATCCAAATCGCTCTCATTTGTGGCCCTCCACAGGAGTTTGATGCTAAAGGTGAAAGCATGCTCACGAAAAGCTTCTACTTTAAAAAAAAAATTAAATTCTAACACGCTTAGCACACTAGCCATCTTGCCTCATTAGAAATTTCTTTTGTTTCAAAGGACACGCCCGCGATAATTAAGTGTGACTACGTATCAAGAAAAGAGCGTCAAATTAAAAACAATAGGTATTATTTCCTTTTGTAGAATCTCCCATATTTGATCATTTTGAAATGGCTTAAACAATGGCATCTTTACACATGAAAACTTCCGATGACTAACGAGGCGGCAAATTTGAAAGTTCGGTGAGTGTGAAGTAATGAACAATATTCCTCGGGGGGAGGGTAAGAGTTATATTTGCCTCGAAGCGATACTTACTTAGGGGCAGAGGGTGAAGAATACTGAATGTCATCTTATCGGTTCGGTTACACAGTGGTAAAGGTTTTTAAAGGTCCTTTGCGAATATTGTTCCTACAATTGCCGTCCACATGCAAAAGACGTAGTGCGTTTAGTTTATCGTACTTCACGGTGGCGTTTTTACAAGTGTTTCTATTCTCTTTCAAATCTCGCGCTACATTTGGCAGGTACAAAACACAGGTCATAAGTACAAGTCACTGCTGTATTGATAAATAACTGAGATAAGCAGTTTGCCCTTAAGCTAAAATTCTATTTTGGATTTTGATTAGGGGTAGGAGACACTTAAGGTGTTGTTTATTTACCATAGCACAGTGACCTGTAGTTTATCCTGCCCTTATGACCTGCGTTTTGTACCTGCTGCGCTACATTGATTAATTTGAATAACCAATAGAGTACCGAAGTGATGGCGTCATAAAAATGAAATTTGTGGAATTATGGGATTTGTTAAGATATTCTGAAAGAACAACGCGCAAGACGTCTACTCGCTAAAAATTAGCAATTCGGGGCAAATTGTCTCTGAGATATTAGCCCAGTTATGCTGTGACGATTCCATACAAATCCTTCTAAATTTGGCTTGGTTCATAAGATTAGGAACAGGTAAGATTTAGAAGGCTTTGTATTGAGTCATCGGAGCATAACTGGGCTAATATCTCAGAGACAATCTGCCCCAAATTGCTAATTTTCGGCGAGTAGGCGTCTTGGACGTTGTTCTTTCAGAATATCTTAACAAATCCCATAATTTGGCAAATTTCATTTTATATGACGTCACACTCTATAGAGGCACTCGGTAAAGTTCCATTCCTTCAGCGGGTTATTAAGTTGAAAGTGCTAAATTCAGCATCCTTCGATTCAATTCAATAAATATGCACCAGGCTACCAGACAAAATGTTTCATTGAAGACTCCCACAAAGTGTTTCATCAAAAAAAGCGGGACATTTTATTCCTCTGATTATCTTTTGTCGAACTCACACGTAAATTCTCCTTTATATGGAGAGGAAGTGATCGAATACTATGTCCATTCTGCTCGCCAATACTAACAACAACAAGCGAACAACAATGATCTAAAACATCTCACCTTCGCAAAGTTCGGCCTACAGAACGTTTCTCGAAATGCTCGTAGCACGCTACAGAAAACAAAAGATTTGGTGCGCGAAGTTTACCTAAACAAAGCCAAGTGTGTCTTTTTTTGTTGTAGCAATTTAATATTGCATATTCGTGATCTAAGACACGCTAAGCGTGTCGTGAGCGTGCTTTCACATTTAGCACCAAAATCCTGTGGACGGTCACATTTGCTCTTAAAAGTACTTTTGCATTCGAAATTCACTGCAAAAAGCACTTATCACCCCTAAAACGGTCACTATAAAAAACCAAGACCAAAGCAAGACACTCATCGGTGTTGCCTGGAAACACAAAATGCTCCGTGACGTCACACTTTTGTTTCTTCCACATTTAACGTCTTTAGACGGTTTGGGTTATGGTTTCCTGTCTTTCTAGTCACATTTACTTTGCTGGCTAGCTCACTGCTCAATCGCATTTATCCAGCTGTTCACACCTTATTTTCTTTAGGTCATCTTTGTTTCTAAAGTTTATTTTCATTTAATACCTGTTACTTTAAGTTGAAAAATGTTTTGTGAGACCTTATTTAAAATGTACTTTTGCTTCATTACTTTGGTAATGATTTTTTTTAACTGAATATGCCTGTGTAAGACACTGTCTAATTATTTATGAACTGTTTAAACCCTTGGGAGAAGTTAATAATGAAAACAAAATGCGTTTATAATTATTACTTCGCAATCTGCTTGTATAATGGGAAGCACTTATAGTTTTAAGACCTTTGCATACACTTTCATTTTTGTTACTATAATGTAGAGCAAATATTTAATAGTCCTCGGTCTCATAAACAAGGAGCGGCGTTTTTCAATACTATTAGTTCTGCTATCACTTAACTCTCTACCTTTGGCATTCTTCAAACGTAAACAAAAAAGGTTCCCACATCTCGAGATAATGACTGTTTAAACTGAAATTTGGCTTCAGACCCACTAGGTCCTTGTCTATTTCGATTATTGCTACATTTTTGCTTATTCAGTTTCACTCTATTTAACCGACATGACAGCTATCTCAGACGGCCACGTAAATGCCATTTCACTTAAAAGGTTAGAAATTGCAGCCTACGTTATCACAAACCGAAGAACCCTTTCCAAATAAAAATATCTAAAAAAATATAAGCTTTAAGCTGCTGTAACACTTCATGAAAGCAAAAATGTAGAAGGGTCGACAATAGGCCACTTCCGAGTTCCAGAAACCCGAACTTTCAAAATGAGGCCAAGTGCGCAACCTTTCATGTGAAAATGAGTTTTATTTGCATGAGAATGAAGATAATTTCCATATCAACGACTGAGCAACCTCGATGATACAGAAGCCAGGGGGGAACTAGGAAATGGCCTTTTGGTAACGTCATGTGTTGTCAGTATAAAACATGGACTGCGGACTGGGTATACAACACGGACTAAGTATAAATGCGGACGACGGACCACGTTGGTAAAAACTGTGCTAACTGATTTTAGGTGAGGTAAATTAAGATCAAAAGATCACTAAATAGCACAACACGTGAGTTTCAGTTATGAATACTCCTAGAAATTCTTGGTGGATGTGTACCGCTCGGTTCTCCGAATCTGAGCCTGACCAAAATGCTATTTTCTACACCTATTTTTAGACCTACAATAATGTCGGTCTCTAACATCCATGGCAGGGGTCACAAACGCGATGTACATGTTTACATAGGTGTAAATCATCTTAGAATATAACGATGGATGATATATTTAATTTCGGTTATTATTCATTTATAGGTGAGTAAACCCCTCCCCCTTTACCCAACTGCCCCTATATTGACCTTCTCATCTGGGTTCTTCATTGCCTCATATCCACAAGGCTTTGAAATGGAGTTGTGGCATCTATAAGAATGTCACTCTCACTAACGTCAATACTATAATACTATTTTTTTATTCGGTGCCCCTCAATTTCATATCTTCTACTTGTTAAAACTATAAAGCGAATTTCTTCTAACTCCTCCATTTTATAAAATACAGAGTTTCATTTTCAGTTGCCTTCAGCAGCGACATAACCTTCCTTGCTCATCCAGTTATTCTTTCCTTCTCCTCGCCGACGTTGGGGAGAATAGACTGGGTGATCAGCCAACGGATCGAATTATGTTTGGGTGTGAGGCAAGGAGCTGGGACTACTGTTTTATGCTAGTCCGCTATCCGTTGCTCTCAGTTTTACCTTTCAAAGGCTGTTTTTATATACACAGTCCGTAGTCCGTAGTCCGCGTTTTATACCTAGTCCGTGTTTTATACTCAGTCCGTAGAGACCGTGATTATGCCCAGTGCACAGTCCGGGGTCCGCAGACCATGTTTTACACTGACCGGTTTACGGTGAACAAGAAACTATTAAAACTGCTTGAAAACCGTATCTTTGACAGAACACTGAGGCTCTTACATTTATACCGCATAAGTGGTAGTACCCCCCTTCCCTAACAACTGTTTACTAACTTCGTTTCTTACGCGTGCTACAAAAATCTTGTTGAAAGTATGGTATATATAATTGGAATCCTACAGAATGTCTTACAGTATAAATTGCTTTCTTCAAATTACCGACTGTCTCACCGGACAACGTTTCCATTTCGTTTAACACAGTTATATTGAATGCTAACCTGAAAGAGGATGAAACTCTTGAGATGATTTCGCTTCCAGCTTGAAGCTTGGGATGTATCTGAAGACAAACGATTAATCGGCGTGCTTTCAACGATGTCGGGAAGCAGCAAATTCCACATTGAGCTTCCGAGGCCGAAGAACGCCAAAAATGGCACAAGAGATAGTTGTATTTTAAATAGATTGATCATTTCGTCGGTCTACAGCACCAAATACCACACGGTTTGCAACACGAAGTCCAACAACTTACATGTAACTACTTTGTTGCGTGACGCCTTGTCTTAAGTGACACTTGCAAACGGAAACGGAAATTGTACAAAAAACGGGCTTCGATTTCAACAAACACCTCCATTCTTCGCATGCACGAGGACAAAGTTGTTTCAATTTTGCCAGGTTCTTTCTCTTTGCGCAGTCAATGTAAATACCTGTTTTGTTTATTAGACGCCGTTCGAGCCAAGAAATGACGGAAACTATGATTTTGTTACCAAAAAACGTCTTTATGTGTTTGTCTTCAAATTGGTACCTTTCAAAATTGAGCTCTTGAGCCACACGAGATTCCGTTAGGGTCTGATAGATTGTACTCGAAAAAGTAGCCGTATAAGCCCCTAGCAGTGCTAGTACGTCTCTTTCAGTTTAGCTCTGCAAGGCCCCAAGGAAGGCTGGCCGAGATACTGACCCTGAATTCCGTTTTGTTTTAGAGGTGAGTTTAACTCAGTTTTGTGAATAAAAAACATATATATCAATTAAGGTGTCAGATGAATAGTTTAAAAACTTCAGGGAAAACACTTTAACGATTTACCTGCCATTTTGCATATCTTCTGGCTAATATTTCTCTTTTCTAGAAGAAGTTGATCGTAGGAATCAGCCTGGAGAACATGGTCGTTTTCTTTCACCACTGAACGCAATTCGTGTGAGTCAATTTCGGTCCCAACGCCAAGAGCTACAACATTTACTCCTCCTTTGTCAGCGTTTTCGAAGCTACATCCAACAAGTTCGCGTCAGACGCTTGCTGACCATTTGCAACCACAAAAGCTATTTTAGGTATTCCAACTCGGCCACTGGGAAAAATGTCATTGGCAGCGACCTCAAAGGCCTTGTCCATTCTGCTTTCTCCCCTTATATGTGGTAAATCTCGAACAGTATTTTCAAACAACTTAGTGCTCATTGAATCTCCAAATCGGAAACGAACTGAAGCCTTGTCGCTGTAGAGAACCACAGCCGCTCGGCTAGTGTTTGGTGAGATTCCAAAGCTCCTTGCGATAGATATCACCAGCGACTTTTGTTTTTGAAAGTTTTCTGCGTCGATGTTATCCGATGAATCCATCAAAAAAGCGATGTCCACGGCATGCACACATGTGGGTTTCTCTAGCAGTTCTGCGTGTAAATATGTGGAAACTTGTATGTATTCAGTGTTTGATATAAAGCCTGGCCAGGGGTCAATTTAATAAAACTTTAACAAGCGTAATTTACAAGTGTAGCCATTGTTTTAGGGTCAGGAAACAATAGCTACAATTACACTTGTAAAAGTTTTATTTAATTGACCCCAGGTGCCATAGGTATGGGCTAATGACCTGGACACCGTTGTTCAGAAGGTCAAAAAATGCTATACAAGGGATACGCAGTTAACCAGTATAAGAGAAAAAACAAAAACAAAATAGAAATGTAAAGCAAGGCAAAAGAACAGAAGATAAACAAGGGATATTTAAAAGCGATGCTCTAAACCTTTGTCATATACTGACTCCTCTTTAAAATGTGGTGTGTTTCTCTGCTGCTACTGGCACACTAGGATCAATTTCAAGACTGAGGATCATCTCACCGTACCGATTAAAAACAAGACAAGTCACCAGCGTGTGAAAATAACTTTGGAAATGGATAATGGATGGTCTGAAAACCGGCGTACCTCTAGACAATTTCTAGCTACGCCTTCAATGGCAGCGACTATACTTGTAGCGCCGGGCTGCAGCAGTTACATACCTCAAAAAATGCAACGATACTCACCAGCTGCGGTGCATATGGCTGCTGCGTTGTCACGAATTTTAAACATCAGATCGTGCGAATCTTGTAACTGAATCAAGTCTTGGTTTCGTTGGAGCACACTACGCCATTCCTTAGGATCGACACTTTTACCAGTTCCTAAAGTGACCACACGGACGTCCGCTTTCCTTGAATCTCGGAGGGTTCGCTTGACCTCACTACTGTCTAAACCAGCCATTGGAGTTCCATCGGTAAGAACTACAGCTAGTTTTGTTATCCCTGGTCTTGTTTTTGAAAATATTTCAGTGGTAGCTAAGTCCATGGCCATGCCCAATTGTACCCCCGTCTTACCATCCTCGTCCTTTTCTATTCTGTCTACAGCTTTTTCAAACTCACTGATATTTACATTTTGAGTTAAGTTGGTTTCAACCGACGCCCTTTCTCCGTAGGTGACAACTGCGAAACGCCAGTTCGTTGCAAAGCTCTTCTTCATGAGTTTAACGAATGTCTTTTGCTTGGCAAAGTCACTATTTCCCATATTTCCAGAGACCTGGATGAAAAATGCAACGTCCGCTGAATACGTACATGGAGGAGGAACTGCAAGAAATCAGGTTATTATTCATGGTATTAGTGGGCGGTATATAGCGAATCAAGAACCCTTTATTACGAATTAAACAAGAAAATGTACTAAACTCGACTTAAGGGATTATCTTTTCCTCCTAAATGTGACCCTGGCGTCTAATAGCCTGCGTTCACAGACGTATTTCCGATGCAGAGAAACGACGACCGGAAATACGCCTGTGTTCGCAAGCTAAGTGTCTAAGGCGCCAAATCCTTCGTTGACAGCATTCAAACTACACCTCTTGGACAAAAGAGGTAAAATAACTAATATCTGTTTTCCTCCTTTTTGTTTAATTATTATATCGTTTTTGCTCTTTTTCAAGGGAAAGATTGTATATACTATTGAGGATAATACAATTACTGAACCCGTACGTTTAGATCACCATATAAATTGTCTTTTGGCCAATATTTTAAAGGCTATTAGCTGCAGTATAGTGAGGTCGATTTTTTTTTACTTTGATTATAATAACTTTGCTAAATGAATCACGCGCTCATACGAAATTACAGTAGGACAAGTAAGGAGGGAAAAATTGCAAGAACTTAAGGCAGATTTATATTGATTTGAAATATGATCACTATCAGTGGCGGATCGAGGGGAAGGGCCCGGGGGACCCGGCGCCCCCCTTATTTTTGGACCAAACTGAGGCCTGAAGGGCCAGACCGAGCTCCCCCCTTATCTAAGGGTCTGGATGACCGCCCCCCCCTTATCTCAAGGTCTGGATCCGGCACTGTCTATAATGTATTTTTATTGTTATTTATCTTTCGCGATACGTCTAGTTTGAAGGAAAATATAAATAGATAAGTTAAGACTTGGAATTCTTCTTACTATACATGTAAATTGCTTGTTAGTAAATAGTTTCTCCTTTTGCTTCTTCTGAAAATGGGGAAGAATGAGAGGCCAGAACTAACCTATAGCGACGCATGTAGCGTTGGCCAATTCGACCGAATTTCTCAGCAGTTCAAAATAAGAGTCTATTATTATTACACCTCTGTCATTTTCCACCAAGGACCGTAAAGATGTGTAGTTAAAACTAGGACCAACGCCAACAAGAAGAACGCGGACACCCGCCTTCCTCAGCGACAAAAGAGAAGTTGTCCACCTTGAATTTTTCCATTCCTGTTCATCAAAAAAGACAACGGCTACGTGTGCAATTCCACCTCTCGCCTTTGAAAATACCTGGAATATATTTGAAACAATTAAATAAGTCAGTAAGATCTAGAAGTTCAGCCTCCCGCCCATGCCGGCATGATAGAAGTAGGCTGGTTTGGGGGTTTTCAACTGACCAATTATTGGTTTCAATTGATCGCAGGCTGAGGTCTATTTTTGTTGGAGGAATTCAGTTTGCTTCTTGCTTAGATTGGCCTTGGTTGATACTGTATATTAAATGATTCCTTCTAGTTTAATGAACAATACTCATGTTGCATGGACTTTTTCCGTACCTGTTTTTCTGCAAGTCTCAGTGCTTCTCTTAAATCTCCTCGATCTCTGCCATATCGCAAGGAATCAACAGCTCTTAGAAACATATCGGTGGATGAAATTGAATCAATACCTAAAGATACGTCTACCACAGCAGAAAACGCCCCGTAGGTCACAATGGAGGCACGGCTACCTCTTGAGTTGATCTGAAAGCCTTTTGCAATGGTTTTTACGGTAGCTTTTATTCTTAGGAAACTGTTCTGTCCTATCCCTCCAGAACTGAAGATGAACGCCAAATCTGCAGGTATATCGCAAGGCACTGGTTCTGCAAAACGTACATGAAATGTTTATGAAGTTTGTTAGTGATAAATGCACAAGAGTCGTGTTATTAAGTTTCTTTCTTTCTTTTTCGAATGGAGTGTCTGGAAAAGACTTTTACCTGTGAGAGAACATGTAGATTTGACCAAATTATTAATGTTTGCCACCAAATCCTGAAAGCTTCTTGCCAGTAAAACATCCTCATCTCTCTCCACCATCAAACGCAGCTCATCTGGATTGACGCCCTTGCCTACTCCCAAAACCAATAACTGGACCCCTGCCTTTCTTAAAGGTTTAGAAACTTCCCTAAGGTCCTTGGTGTCGGCTTCTTGCGTTTGCTCTCCGTCAGTGATAACCATAACAATTTGATGTACATCTTTACGGGCAGACGGCAAGACATATCTACTGGCAACTTCAAGTGCTCTGTCGATACGTGTTTTGCCTCTCTCGTGTGGAAGAAGATCAACAGCCCTCTACAATTACAAAAGGAACAACAAGGCCCCATGTTAGGGAATCCGGATTCCATTGATCCGGGAAATTTTTTTTCTTGTAGAATCCGGAATCCTGGGCTTTGAAATCCGGAAAATAACGCAAGGAATTCGAATCCCATTAATGATTGGAATTCAGAATCCAAGTTCCAATTGCAAAGAGTCCGGATCAAGTACCTGGAATCTGGAATCCACGGCTTAGAATCCAGAATCTAAGACTGGCTTTGAGTCCCTTACATGGGCGAAACAACAAGCAGTCTGGAAATCTTTGTCAACCTGAGATGTATTTCACTGAACTGTAAGTCGTATAAAGACGTCCAAGTCAAACTATTTTATCTATCATTTGTAATTTTTAAATACAGTCAAGATTGATTCCAAACATTACCCATTTAACCAATAAACGTTTTGGTCTTCAATAAACTGATGAAGTCATCAAATTACTTGATTAATGTGCAATTCATGAAATATATTTCAGCTTGCTTGGATTTTCTCCACGAATTATCCTTCTTAAAATAGCTTTTGCAATACTTTATGTACTTGTATGGTCATGCAAATAAAGCTTCGGTTGTCGTATACACCGCATAAGTAATTTTTTTTTCTTCACAATATACAGGGTGTCTCAAAAGTTCGTTCCTCTAATTTCATGCACTATAACTTTTGATCAAAACTTTATTTTTACATGAAATTTGTAGATGTTTATCTCTCTATCGGGTACTTGTATACAGAATTTCAGTAGCTGGCATGACCTTTTGGTTTTTTTATCACATTCTTTAGCCGTCGCGGCATGGAGTGGGATACAGCGTGTAGACCCACAGATGATCCATTTTGAGCTTTTTTTATCTCCTGGTGCGCAGCAGCCAGTTCAACCCCCAAACAATATTTGTTTAGTTTAGGCAGCTGAAGAAAAAATATATTTTGGGCATTCATCCGAAAAAGACAATAATCCCGGCCACATGAAGGCTTCTGTACTTCTTTACAAATTTGAGACGAGCTGCGCGTGACTTGGCAGACTAAGCAGAGGTTTTTTTTGCGACCTCAGGGGCCTCTAATGTTAAACATTTTAAACAGCTTTTCATGACCCTTTCTGGACTTGGCTGGGTAACTATGTGAGTCTCCTCTTTTGTATCTAAAAAACTATTTATTTTTTTATTCAGGACTTTTGGTCTTCCCCTTCGTTTCTCTTGCCTTCAATAGCTTCATTTCTCCATGATCAATTTATCACCCAACATTTGGATTTTTCCGTTTTTTTTTAGCAGTTTCTACAACAGATAAACCAGTAAATGGAAGTATACATGCTTATGCTCTCACGTAGCTAAACGTCTTTGCGTTAAGGGGGTTTAACTTTCGTGATATTCACAAAAACAAGGGAGCAATTCGAGCAATTACGGCTTTAAAATACAAAAAAATATGTGGCTGGAAAATATACTCGCGCACGCTCAACTTTGGCGCGGAAGAACACAAATCGAATATTCAACTTTCAACTTTCAACTTTCAACTTTATTTAAATTTGAAAATATAGCAAACGATACATTGGGACTGGCCTGCAGTTAGCGAGGCTATTCGAGGCAGGCCAGGCTACATAATTTACAACAAATTAGACAAATACAAAGAAATTAGGCATTGTAAGTATATACATTTTACATTAAATAGATAAGTTCTACTTAAATGCAAGGACAATAATTAAAGAGAAATTTTAAAAATAAAATAAAATGAAAATAAAGGACAAGAGAATTATTTTTTCATTTTCACGATGATCGTATCCACATCAATATAGGAGTCTTCAGTTTCAAGGAAATCGAGTAGCATTTCTTTTAGTGATCTTTTAAAAGCTTATTTATTTTTTTTTTTATTCGAGTCAAACGATGGCACAACAAGTATGAAAATAGTGAATTAGATTGAAAGACACAACCTTTATTTAAATGAGTTGCTTACCAAGTCCAATCGTATTGAAATACAGACTTACGAAGTACAGGAACGCACTTTTGGGACACCCGGTGTAGCCCGCGTTCGATATATCTAAATTCTAACATGACTCCTAGGCTTTTGGGACAAAATTGCACGACCCCATTGTCTTGCAATTCCCAAAGGAACTTGAGTACATTGAAAGAAAACCAAACCAAACATGTTAACTAAATATAGAAAAATGACAGAAAGCCCCGGAGTCATGTAAGAATTTTAATATATTGAACGTGCGCTATTGTGCTAGGAATTAGACTACGTACGTGAAACAAACTTCTTAAACCACAATGGAAAAAAATATAGTTATTTACCTGGAAAGCCCCTGTACTTGCATAATCCGTGAACCTTATTTTTACGGAGGCAGAATTGCTGAACAGCACTACAGCAGCGCGGGATTGAGTTCTGGATATTCCAAAACTTTGGGCGATGGCATTTATGAAGGCTTTCTCCCTTTTGTAGTTCGTTCTTGAAATGCTTCCCGACGAATCCACAATAAATGTGATATCCACAGGAGAGTCACAAGTGGGGATTTCTGAGGATACAAAATTATTTTTAAGTAACACGGACCAGAAGCGTGTCCCTGTTATTCAGAAGAAAGAACTACATGTAAACTAGGAAGAAGATAAAGAAAAAAGTGAAGTAAAGCAGAGGCTGTTTTTAGTGTGTAACGACCCAGAAGTTTACTCATTAGAAACATCCCCTGCCTGACTACCGACTATATCATCATGTTCAACACATAGTACGTTTATGTTGAGGCTATTGCTAATTGTTCCGCATTAACAAAAAGATGTGTGGTTTTTAGAACGTTTGTATGAAATATAGAAACATTTTGAATCTTTCATTTCAAAGTCGATAAATAAACGTGAAAAATCCCAAGTTCCCGAGGAGATTCGAACCTATAAACTCCTGAGACAGGGCGGTCGCTTTAATCCACTGAGATTTTCGGATAGGCTAATGGAGAACATGGATACGATATCGTAGGTTGATACATGTATTTAACGCGCTTGCAGCGTTCTGCTGGGATCTGCAATGTCGAATGCGTGCTGTATGAAATAAAGGTGATAAATTTTAAGCTCGGTGAGTGATAGTAAAAGATGTGATAATTAGCAGGCCTCGAGCAAATGTTTGCGTAACAGTACAGCATTAACTGTGATCAGTTTATAAAGAACGCAAACTGCTTGCCGTGGTTGTGATTTACCTTCAATATCTTCGCACGCAGTCTGGGTCAGAGACTCCACAGCCGGTAACAAATCATCAAATGACTTTGCAATTATGACGTCCTTCTTGCTGCTAGCGATCTGCTCAAGCTCTTCCCTCTTCACTGATTTTCCAATTCCTATTGCAATGACTAGCACACCTACATCCTTCATGAGCTGTGATGCTTCATCTAATGGTGTGTAAGAAAACTGTTTTGTCTGCTCTCCGTCAGTGAGCACAAAGGCAATTTTGGGTATCAGAAAGCGAGTGTTGACACGAGCCCTGAACAAATCATAATAGGCCCTTACGAGGGCAAGGTCTATTCTGGTGTAGCCCCGCTCATGCCTTAGGCCTTGTAAAGCCCTTTCAAAGGCCTGTGAGTTAGTGTAAACTCCAAACCTAATAACAGTGGTTGCTTTCGTACTGTATTGAACGACTGCCGCGCGTGATCCCGCTGGTGATATGTTAAATTGCTCCACCATTTTGGACACGAATGTTTTCATTTTTCTGTAATCTCTGGATCTGATGCTACCAGAGGAATCTACTAAGAATGCGACGTCCACAACCGGAGCACATTTCTCTTGTTCTAGATACAAAACAAACAAATGTGGTGAAAAAACGTCAATATATTTCTTTTACTAACCGAGTTCGAGGTCGGTAAAGAAAATAAGTAAAGTAAAACTTTATTTCACTTTAAATGCTGGTCTCCTCGGGGGCACGGCATCTTAAAAATTGCTTTACTTTAAGAAATAAAAACTATATTTAAAAAGATACAATAAAAATTCAATATAAAAGTACAATAAAATATAATACAAAAATAACATTCTAAAAACCTAAAATAAAACCAAAAAAAATCAAGGAAAAGTCAGTATTCTTTCAGTGATTGCAATGTTTAACGGGGCTCTATTAAACATATATAAATTCGCCCCACGAGAGAGCAATAGAGGATATTACATGGCCGCGCGGGGATACGAATTTTATCTTCGAGTGCTGAAAGTATCCCTCACTATTGAGCGAAGCAAACGAGTGAGAGATACTTTCAGCACGAGAAGATAAAATTCGTATCCCCAAGCGGCCATGTAATGTTCTGTTTATTTTTTAGATACTGCTGAAATTCCTACATAAAACACAACCTTTTTTTTATTCATTCTCGAAACAGCAAAATAGTGCAATTAAAGTGGTCACCTATCACAAAATGCCTGTCACAAAAAATTTATGAAACTCGGATATAAAGTTATAAAGGAGAAATAAAGACAATAATACTGTATATTTTCTGTTTCAAAAAGTCAAAATTATGTTAGTAATCATGTTAGTAACCATGGCGACACCAATGTCCTCACATGTGAAAGATAAAAATAGTATCTTCACTGCGCGCGATGAAGATATGATTTTTTAGTAAAAGGAAAAATCCTGGTATTTCACCAGTATCTATGTAATAAAGGTCGTTCTCCCATAATTTATAGAGTTACTGTTATGTTTACTAAAACGTACTGACTTTTTGACTTTCGCATTACTTTTCTCTGCCGTTCTTTAACTTCCTTTTGAGAGACTAGAAAGCCGGGCATTTTATCATTGGCTTCTTAAATCCTTCACAACAATTACGGTAATTCATTTGTAAATATTATGTAAAACAGTGTTTTAAGTTCCAATGTCTCTGTTTTTCTTGGCTGAGATAGCAACAACAATGCGGCGTTTATTCGGGGGTGGCGTTTATAAGTAAATATTATTCTTTCGTCAGCATTTGTTCGTGGGCGACTTTTTTTTTCGAGCAATCGAGTAAACACGTGCGAATAAATATCTCCTTGAATCTATCACCGGGATTCTCATACAAATGCATTATGTTTACGGCCAGTCTGAGAGTACGTAAGTATTATGCCAAATAAAATTCTCATACTGAGCTTAAGCTGCCTGTGGTTGCATAAGGCATAACGTCAGACGTAGCTATTAACGTCTGGCGTTAAATGGTAAAATATAATAGAGTTTGACTTGGGTGGCAGCAGGGGGGGAAGTTTCTTGATCCACTCCGTCTGTCAGTATGAAGGTCACATAGTAACGGGCAAGAGCCTCGGGTCGCTTGTGCAAATTAGCAAGGAATACGACAGTTATTTGGACGAGAGAGGTCGAGGAAAAGCTAAGAAGCTAGCAAATATCGCTATATATCGCCAATTTGATCGAATGAGTGTGAGCTTTGGTGTTGCTATAATCTACTTGTGTAAGCCGTTTTGATATTTTGTGTCCGTGATTGTATAATTCTGTTAATTTGTTTTGCGGGCCGTGTTGTGGGATCGCCATCTATTTCACGGGACCGGCAAGGTCACCAAAAGTTAAATTTTTTTATTCTCTAAAATAGGCAAGGTCTAGTCCCCAGAATAGGAGGTTCCATTCACAGATAACACATGTTTATATTTCATCTATTCGTTTGCTAATTAAATGGGCCTAACTTCATATCATTCCTTTCGAGTGTGGGCCTTTGTTAATGTCCTAATTCTCCACCGAATTCAGTAAAGCTAGTTCGATCGATTGTCTACATCGAACCGCTCCGTTGAACCCGAAATAATGCGAAATAGCTTTGAAATACGCCCCTAAGCTAATTTTCCTCAAAAGTATATTTGAATTCATGATAAATCCAGCTCCACCAGCTTCAAACAGCTGAGAGTTGCTTGCACGTGCAGATAAACCGGGTTCGATTCCCGGCGACGCTGTTTTTTGTTTCTTTGTCCGGTTTTTTTTTTTTCTGTTTAGTCTCTTCTTTTTAACTATTTTTTCTTTTGGCCTTTTTTCTTTATTCTTACTGCTGACCCTGCTGGTCATGCACTTGGATCAATATATATTTTAAGCTTAAGTCCGGAGTTTTATTTTGGCAAAGAGATTTCAAAAGCTCTTGATCTGCATACTGGCCAAGCTTACGACGAGATAAAAACCATAAGCTGTCAAGGCATGTCCCTTCTTTAAAAAAAACAGCTGAATTTTTTCAATTTTTTTTGACATCATGACAAATAACACACAGTACACGACAAACTGTACTAATTTACACCCAACACCCAACCGTGAACCACGGGCGAAAGTTGAACTTGCCTTTTGTACATCGTCTTAATCATCAATATTATTACCCTAAAATCTCCACTGGGTTTGCCCCCCAAAAACAATTAAACGAAACCTTTTATTGGATTTCGGGATTTAATTACAAAATTACAGGTGTACGCCCAATACAGCATTAACATGCGCCGGTAAAGCAACAAGATTCAATGTTCACAGTCTCTCACAAATACCTAAAGCTACGCGAACTTTGAAAGGAATGATATGGGGTCCCACTAGCTCTGAAGAGCTGAAAATACGCACAATGTAAAGTATAATACATCCTTTCATGAACCACCTATTATAGTGTCTAAACTCCTCAATCTTGCTGTGCACTGGCCCTCAAAAGTGTGACCGGTCGATATGATTGCCAGTAAAATTTGCTCTACGATAGAGAGGAATCTTTAAAATTCATTACACCACTGGACATTTCATTCCAAAAAAGTACTTAAGTCTAGTTTTCTATGACAATAGGAACTTTAAAATCTCCAAATCCAAGAAATCGGAACAGTATTTCAGTGATTAAATCGCAATTTTATCCGTCTCTTCGATGAACACTTTGCTCGCCATTTTGAATGTCATTGACGCGAGACGTGACGTCATACTGGCAGGCGGACTGTACCACAGATTTCCTTGGAGACACCTTCCCCCCCCCCCCCCACCCCCTTGGGTGGCAGTGAGTCGGTTAGCTGCCACGTCCGACGTAAAGTTTATGCAACTGGCCCCAAACGACCTAATAAAAAACTTGAAAAAGGCACTGAACAATACCTACATCACAACACAATGGTTAAAGAGAACAATAGTGTTCACAACGTTAACAGCAAGGAACAGGACAGTGCACAGACAAAGGAGAAGAAGACGTTCACAGGTTAAGGTTGATTTCAAAACAAACGTGATCTTTAGCTCCTTTACTTCAACATTCCTGTAACAATTCATTCCCTGGAGCTCAAATACATCAGCCAAAAAGGTTTTGGTCTGTCTAGTGCGCGCATATTCGGGGTCAGGTGATGGTTGATATTTTAGCTTTGGTGTCCAGTATAACAACCTTGACATATTTCCAACTTAGCCTAAAAGGTTCGTAAAAGGTTCTTGTACATTGGTTATCTAGTACTTAAAATGTGGCTATATTGGTTCTCAAATAGTTTATAGAGGAGCTCTCGCTCGCGCGACTCGCGCAGCGGAACACCGTGGGTAAGAAAATCTGGTTATCTGATGCATCCAAGAAATTTTGGTTCTCACAAATTTCACAAGTTTAAGAATTAATTAAAGTCCATTTCTTTTACGTTGTTGTTGTTTTGGTTGTTTCATTTTATTTCCATGAACCTCTCAGCCGCCGCTTTAAGTAGTTTTGGTTTAAGCCTCGTGTAATTTAATCCGTAGATATCGACCACACTCAACTCTCAACCCAAATAGACCAAGTTGGGTCAAGTTCTTCAATGATGATAATAATAATAACAATGATGATAATAATAATAATAACAATGATGATAATAATAATAATAATAATGGGTCAAGTACTTCAATGATGATAATAACAATAATAACAATGATGATAATAATAATAATAACAATGATGATAATAATAATAATAATAATGGGTCAAGTACTTCAATGATGATAATAATAATAACAATGATGATAATAATAATAATAATAATAATAATAATAATAATAATAATAATAATAATAATGATGGTGGAAACTTTATTTGTGTTTTTGAATGTACAATTGTAAATCTCGCTACGCGTGGGCAATTTACAAATGCTGCTTCAGATTGGATTATTCAAAAAAAAAACAATTGGCTATCGCAATTCCTATTTCTACAACAAAAGATTGAATATGTTGCTCTAATGGCTATATTTATCATTTTCTTGATTATATAAAGTTGCTGCTTTTTGTCAATGCCAATGTCATTCATCATGTCTAAGAACGTGGAGCATTCATCGGAGAAAAAGCCAAGAGAGCTCATGGAGAGATTTATAAATCTCACACATCTGTAATTTCTACTCATTTCGTTGATCAAGTTCAGATATTTTTCTTTTTTACGCACTGCATTGTTGTTAAGGTTAGACTCGAAACCAACTGTTAATTCTAGAACATATAGGCACTTGGACTAGATTAGGAAAAGAAGATCTGGACGATAATTTTCACCAGTTAATAATAACAATAATAATAATAATAATAATAATAATAATAATAATAATAATAATAATAATAATAATAATAATAATAGTAATAATAATAATAATAAACATTGTAACCTCCTTAAAAAATGTATTTAAGTTTCCCACATTGCTTTTTCAGCATTTGATGTGTATTTCCCTTTTGCGCCTTTTTCATGCGTGAGATGCTTTTTCGAAGGTCTGGTGCGCGGCCCCAATGAACACTACAATCGAGAGTCTTAAGGTCTGGAAGAACAAGGAAACTTGACCATTCACTCTTAGAGAGTAAGGGATATCTTGATTAGGTAATAGAGATTTTTAGAGAACATTGCTTTTCTACATTG